GGAGGACATTGGAGATGTGCAAATGGAAGCAACTCCAATGGAGTGTGACAATCAAAGATGTCTTGCATTTACAAAGAATCCAAAGCATCATTCAAGGACCAAGCACATTGACATTCAACATCACTTTATAAGAGAGAAGATTGAAATGGGAGTGATTAATATGAGGTATTGTGCAACGGAGGACATGCTTGTTGATTTGTTGACAAAGGCATTAGTAAAGGATAGACACCACATGTCGACAAAGGCATTAGGCTTAAAAGGCATTTGACCAATAGCAAAGTGAGAGTGTTAAAAGAAGTAGAAAATGTTACCTTGTATAGGATATTACTTTAGATAAGTTGTTAGTGGTCAAAGGTTTGATTCTTGGTATATGTTATAGGCATCCAATGGATATAAGATGAAGTCATGGACCAAGAGTCAAAGTCAAAAAGATAAAGTATTAACAAGGGAATATCCAAAGACTAAGTATGAGTCATTAGTATGTGTCATAGGATACCCTCGAAGTTCATGAGATGCCAAAAGATCCTAAGAGCATGTGTGTAAGATGTAAGAGTAATTAGTATTGGACATAGGATACTCTTGGGACTCGTGAGATGCCAAAAAGATCCTAAGGCCATGTGTGTAAAAGTCAAAGAGTGGACGTTGTCTTTTAGGGCAACAACTACCACCTATAAGTAATGGGTGTTGGAAGTGAGAGACATCTTACTCGATACTCTCTTTGTGTGCAACCTTGCTGATGCTAAGTATTGTGTCTTCTATGTACTTGTTTTCTTAATAAATATTATGAAATAAATTTACTTTTATCTATTTTGAATTAATTATATAAATAAATATTAGAGTAAATATGTATGTCTGTGATACAATCTATAATAATAATAAATACTATCAAAAAAATATATGTAATTATTTTGTCACCTTAATTAGATTTTATATATGGAAGAAAATGTATCATTTTGATAAAATGATATATTATTACAAATATAAAATCATAAGAATTTGGACTAAAAGATATGTATTAAAATCTTTAGAAATAAAAGATCGTAGTTATTCTAAAAGTAATGGTTGAAAAAATCTATAAGATTGATGTTAAGGAATTTTCAATCTCAAACAAATATTTTATGGTTATATATATTTTTTTAATTGCGACTAAGATTTTTGAAGATACAAAGTATTTCTTAAGATTAATTTTAAGATTTAATTGTATCCAAAATTTCTTGTTATTGAAAAATTGTGACAAACTTTAAAAATATATATATATATATATATATATATATATATATATATTAACTTTTAAAATAAAAAATTATTTCTAAAAATAGAATATATTATTTTAAAAATTAAATTTAGAAATATGATGAGGTTTAGATAGATTATTTGTAACATCATAAATAAGAATATTTGAAGAAATATTTGATTGAACTTTCTTAAAAAAGGTTTAATTAATAGTTAATGTTGATTTTATTGCTAAAAATGAAATTATTTTGGCTTTAAAATATTTATTTATTCTTAATTGAGAATTGCATTTCTTTCTTTTAGTACAAGAAAAGAACATCTAAAAAGAATATTTAAGAAATTTTATTATTTTCTTTGCCAAAATATGATCTTAAATTCAAATCTTTACAAAGATATGCTTGAATGGAATTGGCAATAATTTTAAAGATGTAATGACATAAAATACTTAATATTCATATATTTTTTATAAACAATCATCAAACATAAAGTACTTTTTAAATAAAGATATTATTCTTGAAATGAATCTATAATTACATAAAGTTCTTTATCTTGAATCTTATAGATAATCTTATGGTTGATCTTTGCTTAAAAAAAAGCAATACTTTGAATTTTGTCAATTTTTCATATTTGTGATGATATTACATTCTAAGCAAAGTCCAATACATTTGCTTTAATATAAAATAACTTAGAAAAGTCAATGCAATACAAAATTGATGTAAAAATAAAGGTTGTTTTTAAAGATTTAAATATATAGACATATTATTTCATAACAATGATTTTTATTATAGTTGGATAATTTTATATATATATATATATATATTATCTTCTTTGACAATCCTACTCCTTATTTGGTAGTTGTGTCATTTCTTTGGACAATATTAAGCAAAGTGCTTAAGTTTCCTACAATATAAGTACAATCCTTTTGAGTAACTATGAGTCTTTTCTTACTCAATAAAAAGTTAAAATTATACTACATTAATTTATATGTCTTCTATTTTTGAATGTATATGTTGAAAAGACGTTGGTGATGCCATTGAATTGTAAAAATATTGAAGCCTACTTGTGCAATTCTCAATTCAAAATTTAAAAAGTTGATTGTGAAACTTTATTGCAAAGTCAATTTTTTGACTTAATATTTAAGTATCAAATAAGTTCAATAATAATTTATTATCTCATAATATATTTTGGAAAAAAAATTGATTGATGAAGGCAATATAATTTTACTTGATATTAATTACTAGTTGTTGAAATTATAAATCCAATAATATTATTCATTAATTAAATTGTCACAAAATACAAATCTTATTGGTTGTAACATAAATTGCATTATGTTTCTTATACATAGATAAAAAAAAAAAAATTGATAATAAAAGTCTCTAAATTATCAAATATTCCATCATATTATTCAAAAAAAAACTAAAACTACAATAAATAAATAAAAGAACTTAAAAGTAGTGTTCCAATGAACTTAATTTATAATCTTAAAGTTAGATAGTTATAATATTGAAGTTCAATCCCCACATTTATTTAATTGATGAATCCTCAAAATTTTGATCTCATACCATCAAACTTCTTAAGTGAAGCAATTCTTGGTTCTCAAATGCTTGAATGGTATTCTATTATAAAAGAAGTAACATAATTTGGTGTAGATATTGAAGCAACTCCAATCATCAATATATCTTTGTTTCCCATCAATCCTCTTATTCCTTATGATGGAAAATTAAGTTGATGTAATACAAACATTAATTCCTTCATTTGCTTTTGCATTTATACTATTTCACTCTTCATTTTAACAAGCTTTTTAATAATAAGACAATGAAAAAGAAGATGTCTAATATCACTTAAAACAAGTACAAGAGATGAATTGAAAACAAAGAAAATTCTAAAAATAATATCAATTTAAAAGTGGATAATCCACAACTTTTAATATATTTATATTGTATCAATAGAGAAGAGTAATCAACTCTTTTTAAAGAAAAGACAAAACTTTGATATTGTAAATATACTCTTGTCAATTTGTCAAGAACTTGAAGAATGTAAATAAAGAAGTGACGTTTTTCAAAAAAAAAGATAATATATATATTGAAGAATAAATTGAAATAGCTATTGCCAAATGACAATAAAACTAAAGAAAATAAAATAGAAGCAAGAAAAAAATTGACAAGAGTGATGGAGATTTCACTCTTGTATTTATATAGCTATTTAATTAGAAGCTACGTGGCGACATTCTATTAGACCTTTGACACATATCCAACTTACATGATATGTATCTAATTTACAAAACAAGCTTCTAATATGTACACCACATGTCCAACTTGTATCACAAGTGGCAAATAAGTGCAGCACATGGCTAACTTGTTGACCAAGTTTTCAACCTATTAATCACCTATAGAAATATATAAAGGCAAATCCATTTCTATGAAGCTTTTGAGAACCATCTTCATAAGATATTATCAAATTTATCTAATTTTATTTAATTCTATCTACTTATATTATTTAAATAATTATTAAAATAAATATATATATCTATGATATTTTTAGCATATAGATCTTTAATAAAATATTCAAGCCTTAATTATATTAATGTAAGTTAGAAGGATTGGATCTAGTAATTAAAAGCTCTTTTGAAAAGAATACTTTAAAGACCTCAATTAAAACAAAATTGGTGAAATGATTTTAATAACATAATATAGTTGCAACTAGAATTGTTGTTTAAATGGTCATTGCATCTATCAATATGTGATCAAATGATGGCATACATAATAAAAAGTTTTTAACAAATCACTAAATTCTTTAAGATTTATTTTTAAAAAAAAATTATTAAATATTGAGGTTTTTTTATGGAATCCATGATAGAAGGACAAAGTTATATCATATGTATATAACAAACTACTATTGTAAGAAAATTTCTATAAAATTCTATAATTTATTTAATTTTAATTTTAATTTTTAAAAATATTTTATAATATTCTAGAATTTTATAGATATTAATATTGATGTCTTGAAAAAAAAAACTTCAAAATCTTTTAAAACCTTTAGATTTTAAAATCTACTATGGTTTTTTTAAATTTTATAAGAATGCTTTATAATCTTCTAAAAGCTTATATAGCCATCTTACACCCTAAGTACATCACAAGTTTCCATAGAATATTATTTACATCTTTAAAATATTTTATAATTCTTAGAATCTCTTCTAAAAACTTCCATATATAGCGATAACTATAATCTAAATAAATATACTAGGCAAGATGCCTTAACACTACAATACAAATTTTGGAACAATCTGAATGTTGCTTTACTTTAATCTTGTAAGTAATCATGTTTATAATCTTATATGTTGATAATTCGTGTACTTCTTAAGGTCTTGATTTTGTGTCTCTTAGTAATAATTTATTTTATTATTGTTCTCAAGAACCAAATCCCTATTTATATTTAACCTTGCATACTAGAAGGATTAAAAAGAAAGAAATAAAAAGAAAGAATTTTTTTTTAGTTTTTTAAAATTATTTAATCTGGAACTACTTGGCCTTTTTTATGCAAAATACTAGGAGTAAGCTGTTAAACATACCACAAAAGGTAGAGCTTTTACCCTGAAGCGATTTTCTTCACATTTCCTCATACATTACTTTCTCCTATCAGTGGATTTGCTTGGTCCATGAACTACAAGCATGAGAAAATTCATGTTGTCAAGCTACCGAACTAGACACGAGTCTAATTTCAATCAAGCCACCAGGGTAATCGGATTTCAGCCTCAGAGTAGACACGAGTTAAGGTAATGAAATCCGCATCATGTTCCAAAAAAGTTCATAAAATGAGCCAGAGAGTAAGTGGTCCTTGTGATGTGCATTAAACCAGTTCAACGAGAACATCGCCATTGTAGTCAAGAAGCATGACAACTCAATAATCCTGTTCAGCTTCAGCACTGTGAACAATCAGGAGTACCACTACAAGGCGAAAAACCTATTATATATTATCACATTGACCACCTGCACCGCCCAGCACGTAAGGGCAGATCCATATATCATTTGAATGTGGCCATCGCCCAACTCAAACATGATTTGCCTTTTATCAAGGCGCTACTTCATTGCTGGTTGGTCCCGGATAGAGCTAAATTAACCAGGGCTTTTCTAAGGTGCGGAATGCCACCACCAGTTTGTGAGCTCACCATTAACTGATTCCACACACAAAACCCATGTTAGGATTTCAAGTGAAGGACATGAGGTCCTCAAAAGCAATGCAAGAATTATACCCAAAAAAACAGTTCTAAACAGGTTGAGTAGCTACGATCACACTGCAAATTAGTAATCTGCCTTCATACTCTCATCTGATGACAAAAGGAATAAAATAGACGTGAAAAAGGCGATGAAGACGATGTAAAGTCTAAAATGCCAAAACTCTGCATAAATCTTCTACTCAAGTTCCGCTACTTTGATCAACTTGCAGGTGCAAAAGATCAAATGACCTAGAAAACAAAACAGACAATCTTCAAACACACTTTTGTATTCTATTCAATGAGTCACATAGGAAAAAGGTACAAAGCCATACCACTGGTAAGATGAGTTGCTTATGATGCTTGAGAGCCTGCAAGGTTTGAAATTACCGGCTCAAATACATTTTTCTAAGAAAATAAAAAAATAAAAATAAAAATAAAAATAAACAAACAAACAAAACAAAAAAAACTACTGGCAAACTTTTGTCTAGCTGGAAGGTCATCGCACGCATCTCTACAAATGATGTCAACATTCTGCTTAAATTAGTCCATCGTGCTAATGACAAATTTTACGACCTTCTGAAAGATAAAAATAGCCTGCCTAAAATCTAAAGCTTATTCCCCAGGGCAACATATAGAGAAATGTTTTTACGTCACTCACCTCTTGAATTTGGGTGGCCCGACGAGCCAGGTCTAATGGAGGGAGAATATCCGTCTTAGTAAGCACTATTTGATATTTTGTTTGGGCACTGCCAAGCAACAGTGTGTGTCAGAAAAAGGGAAACGTGACAAAAAGGATCCATTCCGAGAGATACGCTGAAAGACGAACAAAAAAGAGTCAGAAATGTTACTTTTCCATTAATTCGATAAGTTCTTCGTCTCGTGGCTTCAACCCCCACTTGGAGTCGACCAACAAGCATACCCGCTTCAGAATTTTCCTTGTTGTAACATACTCCTTCACCTACTTGCACAAAAAATAATATTTATTGCCTGGTGTGACCCTCACAAAAATCTCCATTCTCCGCACAAATGGTGCAAATATACACTGGACAAGACATGTATAGTAGGGTGCCACACAGACAAGCCAAAGGAGTTTTCAAAAGCACTTACAAGATCTTCCCAGGCCTCCTTTGCCTCTTCTTTTGCATAAGCAAAACCATATCCTGGTAGATCAACCAGACAGAGTCGAGATCCTAGTGTGAAGAAATTGACCGACTGTCCAAAGGCAAATACCAAATAAGTTTTAAGGAAATCCATTAGTTTAGATACAGTCATGAGATTTTCATAATTTCAAACTAGAAAAACACCAAATATACCTGGGTCATCCCAGGCTTATCAGACGTTCGAACAACACCCCATTGTCTTGTAAGTGCATTGATCAACGACGACTTTCCAACATTTGACCTGCCTGTAAACATAGAGTGTGATTAAGGAATCAAAAAATAATCTTGCAATACTCTTCCTCAAAAGATCTTCAACCAAGAGACTTAATGTAATAAATAGGTAGAAAGAACGATTTGTTCATCGAGATGTGGACAAGCTAAATATCGATTAAGCATACGGCACGCTCTTCTTCAAAAATTGATTCATTTTACTGCATACGTTATTCTAACTCAAAGCCCCAAAATACAGAGCGTTAAGCATACCTGCAAAGGCTATTTCAGGTAGATTTAATGAAGGAAGAGAACGGGAGACTTTTGCAGCTGCAGCAAAAGTAAGCTTGCGCTTGAATACCTGTACCCATAAACAGTGATGAATCAACAACACAGCAAGCTTCTAAATGTACATATCAGAGCGTACACAGGCCATTTCGAACCAAAACTGTATTCGTAGAAATTTGTGACAAGGAGAGTGACATCAATATCAGTAATTAACTATGTTGTAAATTACTCAACAATAATGGATTTTTCGATGGCAAATACAGCCTGTATCCCCAATGCAAGCTGTAGGCACTTGCAAAAAAACATAAAGATAGAGGTGATAAGCCTACAGTCTCCTGGATGGGAAGTCGTCCTTCTTTGCTACCATGAGGAATATCATCCAATGGAGCCTTCAATTTGATATGATATCCTCCATTTCTCCACTCCCAAAGACGTCGTCGTCCTAACAACTGGCCTAACCTCAAGGCCAGAACAAAGACCAACAACTTAGTCGTTACATGAATCAATATGCGGATCACAGGTCCTAGTTTGACAACTGGAAACTAATACATGATTTCCACCAAAGCTTGAAATAAATTATGACCTTGGATGACTTGCGCTGTTAAAGATCATAAAAAGGTCAAAAGTTTACAACGGAAACCAAGTTACGGAGCTAAGAAAAACTGGCAAGTTGAGCGTCATGAGTTGCAAACAGGAATAGGAGCATGATGACCATACATGAGTATCAATGTGGCGCAAGATCTCAGGCAACGGCTGGATGGCTCTGAATTGGGCATTCTGTGAAGAACTCGCACCGTCGACAATTTCTTCACCACATTTCTCTGCTGACTTCGGTTTTACGACTTCAGCTGTATCACAATCGAAGTAAACTTTTTCAATATCCTGTTCCAGGGACTATCAAAGGTATTTCCTAGTTACGTTCAGTAAAGAGTACTTCAAGCAAGCCAGGCATAACCCGTACGCCTCAATCAGTTCAGAAATGAACAAGGGATATCACTGCAATAGTGTGAACACTGACGTCAAGCACCAATTTCATCACTCAAGTCGAAGATGAGCCTATGTCTAAGACCAAAAGAGTAATCAAGATGAACAATCGCTCTCATGCTACTTCTATTTGAAGCCAGTGTGTGCGATTCACAGCGCCACTTAACGAGACAATACGTGAGACTTAAATGGTAGATCAATACCACGTAGATCAAAAGTAGGAAAATCATCCACGATGCGTTTATTAGTCTGATCAGATGGATGCAAGCGCATCACTCGCCTTTTCCTCGCAGAGGGAGTATCTGTGTGAAAAAAATGAAAATTCTTTAAAAAATAAAAAAAATAAAAAAGGCAAAATCAGTGAGCAAGCAATAATAACTTGATATTCTTACACAATTACTGAGCAACGATTCAAACAGGAATGTTGAATCACATTGTTCTCCTAAATACAAGCTCCAGCTCTTAAGTGAAGACTTGTATAAAGCCCGAGTGAAGATTTTCTTAAACCCTCAACCCAAACGGTGTACAGAAGCAGCTTGCCTTCAGCCTCAGTTTCTTCAAGCCCGCGCCTTCTTAATTGAAAACCCTGAAAGGTACTTGACTTCATCACATTACTATCTGATATCCGTCCCAATTTTACAGGGATTCGGATTTCATCAAGTGTGTCAAAACGCTCTGAACTTCGTTTCGCACCCCACCGCTTTCTAGAACCTGCCGCATCACTGCCCGAATTCAATGCAGCGCCCTCTCTTTTCTGAAAATTGCCACGATGCCTGCCTCCTGGAATTGTGAACAACATGCGCCGTCAGAACGTAAGTACAGCAGACAATGTCCAATTCCTCACACCAAAAACCTAAAATTAAACTGGCAAAAGTAAGACAGATGCAAAATATTCAACTGTATAGATATCGCTCGAGCACCTGATTCTCCACCCACAGCCCTGCCCCTGACGGAACGCCCGCCCGATCGCTGCCCTGCACCGTCTCTCTTAACAGGCTGCTTCGCTAGCCTTCTCATCTGAGTGTCGCGAGTAGCAAACGATCGCGCAACCACGGTTCCCATAAACCCTGCTAAACCCTCCTGCTTCGAATTCCGCAACTCACTTCCAATTCTCCAGCACAGCGTCCCAACACTTCCAGTATACTCCGCAGGAACACAAGCGATACCTTGGTAAATGCCATAGAACCCCCTTGAACACACCGACGGTGAAGAACACGAAGAAATGTCGATCCTGTGTGCTGTTCCAAACCTTTGAACCAACATTTCATTCTCCGCCACAGCGGCAGTGTGCTCATGCACAAAGTAGGAGTCTCGGAAGGCCAAGGCTCTCAGCCTCCTGGCCATCCCAGCCACAACAGCCTTGGTCATTGGAATTTTTTTTGCTTCAACCCTGCTATTGCATTGCGATCAACACGCCGTCCCTACGACACGCCACACTAGGCCAAAATTCTGCGAGCTGAGTCTATTGAAATCCCGGTTATCCGCAGGAAAACATCCCCATCTACTCGACCAATTCTGCAATCAATCTCGGTCGCGAAACTATGCAAAAGCTCTGAAAATCACGGCAATTTTCGAGGAGTCCTGGACTGTGTTGCAAGCAGCAGCGGTACCTGCTTTCCTCCCTCGAGATGCAGATTAGGGTTTCGTCAACGTCAACGGACGAAATAAAGTATTCGTCCTCCATTCGATGGACGATTTCGTTGGCTCGTTCCTCATGCTGCGTAGAACTTCCCTTGATGGGAGTGATACTCAAAAGTTTTGTTTTATGATTTTTATGTAGTAATATTTGTTTTCTTTGAATTTCTTTTTTAGTTGGGTTGAAATGGAGTAGTGAGCTTATGTATTGAATCTTCTTCCAAATATTCTTTTATGTGATTTGTTTCTTTTTTATGTTTTCATTCCAATCATTGTTGTTGTTGTCATTATTTTTCTTTTAATATTTATGCAACTATATCTTAGTTTTTTAATATTTTTTAAGATTCAATATATATATATATATATATATATATATATATATACAGATAAATATTCCTAAATTTTCTCCATCTTCTTGACCTTATCAAACTTCTTAACATAAATTTTTACAAAGTTTATTGGTAATTTTACTTTCAATATAAATAATATTAATTAGTTGTGTGATTTTTAAGTTTAAATTTTATATTAAATAAAATAATTTTATAAATTTTTCTTGTAAAAATTAGCTTAGATTCTAGATTAATTAGATACCATATCTATTTAGCATTAAGATTTATTAGAAATAAATTCTTAAATTATAATATTTTATTTCTTAATGATGCAAAAAATAAGTATTTGAATACAACTCTTGTACATCAAAGATTAATTGTAGTAGTTACAAGCCATGCTTTAGAATTTCTTCTTACCACAATCTTTATATTCTTTTATTCTATTATAAGCTTTTCTACTTTCAGTATTTATTTTATTTTATTTTTTAAATCTCATACCTATACAATTGAATGTTGTAAAGATATAATACATTAAAAACTATTTCCAATTCCACATTTAATTTAAATATTTTCTTTATAATACTATATTTAAATTTTTTGCACAACGTTACTACTTACTACATCTTTATACATTAGTATTAGTCTCTATGTTTTAAATTCTAACTCAATGTCTTTCTATTGCTAATGGTGTCACTTTTTCTTTGTTTTTTGTTAATTAATATTTTTTTTTAGATTCATACATGTGACCTCTAATTATTTAACAACAACTTACTGATGTGTGCCAAATTCTGTTTTTTTTCTAATATTAATATAAAAATATTTATTCTAATCGTAAAAGTCATTAATTTTTATCTTATTGCACAATCTTGTCAAAAAACTTATCTTTTGACTCTAAATATTATTAGTAAATTAATTAAAAGTTTGATGAAATTGTATCTTAAATTTTTCTTTCTTTCTTTCTTTCTTTCTAATAACTTATATAAGCCTACATGATAGTTAAAGTTTTTTTTTTTTTTTTAAGATCCGTTTGAATACACATTAATTAAATTGCCAAGATAAGTTCTAACATATTTATTAATTATTCAAAATTTTGGATTAAAAAAAATCCTAAAATACCATCAGTACAACATGTTTTTTTAGGACTAGATGTAGTGCATATAATACTATTTCTCTTGTTTTACCTATTTATATTATAGCAACTAATTTTTGTAATAGTTCTTGAGAGAAATTCAATGGCCATGGAATAACATACAAGTCTAAAGACATTTTTATATAAAACTTTAAAAAAAGTCTTAAACAAAAATAAAAGGCTATAAAAATTTAACATAAATAAAATAAAATGAAAAGTTTTCAAAAGTTTTAGAGAAAGACAAAAGATGAGATAACATTATATAAGATTCTAGATGATTTTATTAATTTTCAAAGATCTAAAAAATTACACTAACATTTATGATACTCTAAATTATTTTAGAATGCTTAAGAGGATGCATGTGGTTATAGTTTGTTGTATAATTGCAACATAACATTCTTCTTTTGCAAAAAGTTCTATAAAAATTTTAAGAAATCTATTATTTTTCTTCTCCAAAAAGTCAAAGATTCGTTTTAAAAAATCTTGTGTTATATACATAGTCTTTTGATTTCTATTCCATAAAAACTATGGCCACAATTATTTTGTGTCATTAAATTAATTCCAATGAATTTATATAAATTGAGTTCTTCAAAATATCTTCTAACAGTAACCTTTTTACTACAAAGCTAAATGTTACTAAATGTAGTAGTGTAATCAAAGTTTAAATATATTTATAGATATTTTTAAGCTAAGTTGTTTTTTATAAGAGTATACTCAATAGTTGAAAAGTGCACCTTTATTTCGATGGCATTCATATAATACTAAAGGTTATTATTGTTATAGCAACTGATATAAGAATTATGAAAAAAAAATTAAAATCTTAAGATTTTAAAAACCAAAAAAAGTAAAAAATTATTACTCTAATTTTTTTTAATGTAAAAATGTCTGTATGGTTTTACCTTTTTTTTTCAATTTTTTATTTTTATTTTTATTTTTATTTTTTTATTACCTCAATTTTCATAAGATTCTAAAACTTTATAAAGTCTTTTGAAAGTTTAGTTTTTTGTGACCATCAAAAACCTTCTCTAAAATTTTTTATAAAGAATACTTTGAACTTTTAAAATATTTTAAAGCAAAGATTATAGTCTTATATCTTATTTCTAATATACTCATGGTCATTGATTCTTCAAAAGAAATATATATATATATATATATATATATCCTGAAATAGGTGAGCCATCCCATTTCTTGAAAGATACTATTATGTCTTATAAATTATATATTAATAATTCCTGAGTTCACGTCTTGTCTTTTAATTCTTTATACATTCCAGAAGAAAAAAAAAATTACACAAACTATTCTTCTTCTAAAATAAAATATTTGGTTTTGCATTCTCGGAGGTTGAAGAATAGCTAAAGCTTGTTTTGGTAACACTCGCCAAAACTGAGATTGACGATTCAACATATTAAAGTGTGTTCTTCACTCCCACGTGGGTATTTGATCAACAAGGCTTTTTCCTCGGCAACAGTCCAACAAGATGCCATCTAGATGTTCATGTCAAACACATTTCATAATATGCAGCAGATAATTGAGTGCATGAACTGATGGTCTGCTTCGCATCTTTGCCACTAGAGACCGAGCAGATGCAATCTTATGGTGGCCGACAGAAATGCAGGTGAAAACAGTCTTCAAGGGTGCCGAACAATGAGCTAATGGAACACCACACACATTGGAAATCTTACGAAGCTGGAAAAATGACTAGCATTTCATAGTTATCCTCATGGACGCACTGTACACTATCTCTACGTTTGAGGGTTCATAAACTGGTGGTGATCTACGGAGACCTTACAAAAGCTCAACACTTGCCCTGACTGTTTCAAGGTAAGTAAGAATACCGTTTTCATTGCAAGAGAATTGTCAGATTAAGATCCAGATACCAGCACGAAGAGTTGCCAATCTACGTCATGTGGGTTTAATCTGAGGTGTTGATGGAGTCGGAAATGTTTGGCAGCAAAGGGGATGGTATCTCAACCCCGTTGCAGTTACAGCTCTGAGGGACCAGCGTCGGACCCATGCACTACACCACATACTCTGCACATAAAGCTTGGGATTGTTTATCGATCTACCATGTGTTTTTTGACACCAGTCATCAGCACGCATCACTGGAATGAGCATTACCTTTGCGACCTGCGCAGAAGAACGGAACGAAACACCATTCCAAGTGGCTCCAGTGCGTGAGGCATCCTTGTAATGTCAGAGGCATTGCTCAGCCTCCTTCACATCGGATAGTGAAAAAGTTGAAGCCGCTGGTCAAACTTCTGAACTTAAACATCTTTAAAGCAACGTGACAACGGGACCCACAACGGCAAATTACAAAGCAGTGGACGTGGACAGTGTGGAGATGACCCACACAGGTGCTGCAACTGACAACCAGCCGTGTCCACACAGAATGGCATAATTGTGAGACATGGTGCGTGGGTGCACGCAATAGTATCGAGCAACACGTAACCCCCCAGCTTCTCAAATCTGTTATAAAAACAAAAGAAAAACACAAAATCTAAAATCTATAGTAAATAAACACATAAGAAAACGAAAACATATCAGAACAGTGGATGATTCTTCATGATGCTAGAAATACTGAGCTGCCACTAGCACCGATCTCTGGGTTTGATGGAAGAAAAATTCAAAGCAGATGTGAGCCCATCTTCCTGCATCTTCCAATATCTGTTTGGATTCCTCGGGAACATCGCCTGGTGTGAGGTACACACAATCGGAATTGGATTCCACAACTGCAGGGTTATGCTGTGAATTTTTCCAGCAAATTTTCACTAGTCAAAATACTGCATCGGTGGAGATCATTGGTGTCGGGAAAGTGGATTCTGGAATTTGTTTGTGCGACTGGTGTGGCTGATCCAGTGCAGTGAATATTAAAACGATTGTTACTCACTTGCAATTATTGATGGATTACATCGTTCATAGTGGAATCATTTGTGTGTGGACCAACCTTTCTTAAAGGGGATTAAAATGAAAGAATGATTGATAATGTTATTGCAAAGTATCATTAAAATGTGTTGAACTACAAAATTTTAAATTGCTCAGATACTGTTGTGAACAGTTCGTACTGTTTGTTTCACATATTATCTACACACAAAGTTAATTGACATGACTTTTTTCGAAGACCCTTGTCAGATGTACATACAATTATTAGCTATTCAAAACATTTAAAAGATAATTCCATTTTGAAAATGCACCTGCAATCACATATATTTATATATTTTATCCATATATCTTATTAATTTGTCCTTAAAAAATACAATTAGATTTTAAGGAATTGCAACACATGAATATGATTATAAACAGAAAAATATATCAAAACACTTAAGTCAAAAGTATAATATTTTTTTTCATAAAATGAAACAATTTTTTAAAGAACACATTTGTTGTGGAAAATTTATATAATTTGTACAGCTTTTATGATTTTAAACCATACACTGATTCAAAAAATTCTTCTTCAACCATGACTACATTTTGTTTGAGTCAAATGTAAAAGACTCTCTGTAGCATAGCTAGTTTCATTTTCATTTTTCTTATATTGGGTTTATACACAGTTTAAACCCAAATGAACTAGTTTAAATGCCAGAGGCAAATCCACAATATTGAGAAAATTGAAAATCTGTGGGCGTCCCAAACAAGGTGGACAGGCCCATCCCAGCATCAAGGGGCGAAGTGAGGACCCCTCGCAGGACATAAACATAGACCGAGTCATAATTCAAAGATACCCAGGGTAGCTTTCTGACGGATATCACTCGTATACCCGCATTCTAGAACATCAGTGCCGAGTATCACAAGCTGTGCCACAAACACCCGGATTGATACCTTGGTGGCGAACAATCACGGTCATAGGGTGATGTGGGCCAGACGGAGGATTGCATGACTCGCCTCACAGTGGTCATACACCCTACTCCTCGAGGGCGGTCATGGGATCCCGCGCGGGGGAGAGACGGAGGCGAGGAGTCGAGGGAGGAAGGCAGCGGGGGCAGCGGCGGCAATGGCGGCGGCGATGGCGGCAGCGGTGTGGGGAGGACGCTAATGCGGCGATTTGGGGATAGAATGGGAATTTAGTATAGGAACACATAAAAAATACAAGCACACTTCCAAGGGTAAGTGCGGAATGAAATCTTTCCTTCATTGTTGTAAGATTTTGCAAAATCGAAGTATGCCCTTTCACATGAAGTTGCAACTGGATGCAGTGGCCGTTATTTTCTGTGGTTACTAAACATGGGTGTCGTTATATTCGGTTAGCGGTGCAGTGCCAAAGTTGCTTCCTATTGGCTACTTGTTTGTTTCCTAAATAATGAGGTCTACGTGTCTGGGGTGTTGGTGCTCACGTGTCTTTATGAGCAAACTCGTTGATAAGTTAGATGCCCACTCTTGCCGTGGAATCGACTCATCGATTCATCGACTCTTGGCTATCTCTCGTAGATGGTTTCGTTTACACTTCCAGGCGCTGCGTCTTCGTCTTCATCGCCACGTGCTGCTTTGACCTTGGGGCTCTGCGATAACATACCTCTTTCTTACTCCTCGCTCGCAGAACTGCCCTCACTGCCCCTCCCTCCCTACTTTCCGCATCCCCACGCGCTCTTACTTCTGCCACTTTGCCGTAGCCTTGCTTGTTGTTTGTTTTTTTAAGGAGACCCACGAGAAGAAAACCCTGCCTACAGTTTAACCCCGTGATGGCGTCGCGTGAGCTGTTTCGTCGTGGGACTTCCGTGCTGCATCGACCCGTGCAGCCCCGAGTTGCTCTTGCATCTCTGCAGCAGGTATTGCACGGGTTTTCATGATCGTGATTTTTACATGTGTGTGTGTTGTGGTGTTTGGTGGTTTCCTGGTTAGGTTTCAATGTGAAGTGCAGGGACGTGCAATTTGGGGGCCTGATGGTCGGTTGTTTCCGTTGGCTGGTGTTTGGATTCCTGTTGCAGGAGTGTCTTGGGTTCAAATTGCAGTTTATTGTTCGATTTGTTGTCATGGGTTGTTTAGTTTTAGACTTGTTGTCGTATATTTCTTGTGGCATTAGAAAGCTGCGAAGGATTGTACATTCTTATAGAGGCGTGCTGTGTTTTCTGTTTTGGTCTTCAGTATAAGGTAATGGTGTGTGTGTTAAATTGGTCGTATGTATCACCTGTTTCTGTCTTTTAGCTTGAATTGTGCGTGTGCTTTTTAATCTATTCTTTGTTTGTCTGGTAATTATCCGAGTATGCGCGATTTGGTTTGTCGAGTGTTTTGGAGTGAAATGCGTTTAAGCCTAAAAATCTTACGAGTCGAAATCTTTTAATTTTTTTCCTAGGCGAAACGTGGATTCGCGCAAGAGAGACCTCAAGACAGCTCGACGTCAAATTGGGGAGCAGGTGAACCGCCCATCGATGAGAAGAACACCGAACGCGGGGTTCCTCCGAAATCTGATTCAGAAGGCCAAGTGCCCACTCCCAGTCTGAACAGACAGAAAAGCACCCGGGATTTCATCATCACTAAGCGTGAAGAGAAGTTAAATGCTGCAAAGGTTTCAGTTCCTGATTGAGTCTCTCGGTGTTTGTTTCCCTTACTTCAATTTGCATGCTCGCTTCTGCCTTCTCGTCACAAACGCATTTAAAACTGAATTTTATGATATATCTTGTACGTTCCAGGGTGGTTTGTTGGTGCTATTTATAAATCGTCTGAGCGAAACCGTTTGTCCGATCATCTCATCGTTACATCGTTTCCCTAATGGTTACACATATTTAGATCTTCCATTTGTGTTCTCTTGAGTTATACAGAAGCTAGAGTTTAAGCAGGTCCAAAGTTAAGCTGCTTTGAGCGCTAAGGAGAACGACTGGGGTTGTGGTTTCACAGACTTCCAAACGTCCGCCGGGAGTCGATTTGGGGGCAGGAAAGCAGCAAGAGAACGTGAAGGATCAGTAAGAAGGTTAAAAGTTTTTCAGCGGAGCACACTGCCAATGGCTTTAATATTTCCAAGCAGTGATGTTGGTCCTCATTCCAAGGTTTGGGCGAATTTCAAGCCGTAAAGCTGGATGTCCTTATCAACTGAAACCCAGGGCTGTGGAGGTTTATTGGCGATGTTATTAGATTAGTGTGGTATATATTTTCTCTGTACATTCCTTGCTCTCTTGAGGTATGTGTGTTGCAGGTAAGTAGAACGTTGATGTCCTACATAGAACAGATTCTTGTTGAAGTGTGGGTTGTCTTTTTGTTTTCTTTTTTTAAAATATGTTTTTGGAAGGATTTCATTTAGCCTATTACTTGAAATGTCAAGTCTACTGTCTTGTGCATTTTGTACAGATTTGTTCATATTCTGTAATAAATCTTGCCCTTTTTAGTCAAAGGAGAAATATAATGCAGTTCATTTCTGTGCATTAGCTTACACACCAATCGTGCACCAGCAGAAATTCATGTTTTTCATCTTCAGCATTGTTAGCAGCAAATCATCCTTTTGAAACTGGGGTATTCGCATCACAAGTTGTGCGGTCAATGGTCTTTGTTAACTGATTATTTCTTGATTGGGTCCATTCCAGAATCACCCAAGACCTTGTTTTCCACAACAAATATTCTAATACCAAAGATACCGTGTTGTATATATTTTACATACACACATACATAGAAATAGAATATTAATTGGATGTGTGATTTATGAAAAAACTTGACTTAAATAAGATTTGAACAATTTATTTTTACTAACTCCTTTTAAGACTTGTTTTGACCTTTATATTTCAAATTAACACTTGTTTTTATTTGTATTAGTAAGCAACAAAATATTTAATTTCTATCCTTGTATAATTAATTTTTTGAAATCTACTTATATTAATTTAATATTAGGTCTTTTAAATAACCTTTCTTACTATTTTCTTCTTGTCCACTAATCACATTTTAACTTGTATTTTACAAAATCTAAATTTCTATCTATAATAAATATAATTGTATCATCTACCAAAAAAGCCTTCTTTTGTAAATAAAAGTAAAAGTTTGTAATGTAATATATAGATAAGAATTTAAATATACAAAGTATTACTTCGATTATTAATATCATTATTATAAATATAATTATTATAGATAATTAATTATGAATTTAAATATGTTGAAGAAAAAATAATAATCATTCTTTCTAAGAGCATTGCTATCCATTGGCACCAATGGACATATTGTGGCTGCATGGTGCACTAGCCAAAGCAGCCCTAACACAATCTCCACCCACTCGACAGAGGGGCTAGTAGCAGCTAGGCATGGCACTACCTGCTCGCCCCATAGAACCTCATTAAGGGCCCAACTCCCAGCCCAATTCCAAGGAGTCCCCCTCGCAAAGAAAATTGGATTCTACCAACTACCCTGCCTTATGGTTGGTAGAAATCAGGCCATGCACTACATGCCTGCCTCACACTGACCCAGTTAGGGCCTCAGTCCAAGTCCCAACCCCAGCATGAGAGAGTCATTTCCACAACAGACTGCCGAAAAAAGTTCCTATTCTATAGGGGCTGGCCTTGCTGGGGCAGGCAACCAAGTTGTAGTGGAGCTCATTCTAAGGCCTGGGCAACCTTGCTGGCTATTGGCAGCATCAGTGGCCATGCTCTGAGGGCCTATAATTTAGGTTGCTTGTTTCCACCTCGGTGACCACATGACCTTACTTCATTCTAATTAGATGTAGCCATGTAAGCTTACCTTGCCCAATCATGTATAGCTATTTGACCTTGCTAACCACATGGACTCTATTAATTACCTTTTTAAAATAATAAAAATCAATAACTTTTTTAAAAATAAGAGATCATCAATTATGCACCATATAATAAAGTTGGTATCCAAAATTGTAATTACTTATTGAAGGTTATTGAGTTTTGGGGGATTATTGAACGTGAAACAGAATATAAATATAGATATATATCTAGGAAAATGTTAAAATGACCTAAGCTTTTGTTAAACTGATCAACATGTCTGCACCATCATTGCACTCCCCATGCCCTGCCCAGTCCCCCCCGTTCTCATACAAAGACATAAATCTCGTCAGTGGAATGTGATAATGCGAAAATGGACCATCTGACGAGGAAAGGAGGCACAGAAGCGAGTTAAAATTTGCTGAAATTGTACAACACATTTACAGTGGACCGCAACTCGAAGGGGAAGTCTCTGGAGTAATGGCCGTGACTGGAGACTCATCCCACTTGTAATCTATTCGATGCAGATCGTCATCGCGCATCCGAATGGTTTGGCACAATTCCATGTGACAAAGTCGGATTGCGGGATCAGCTTTACCCGTTTACTGCAATACCCTACACACTGCGGAGACACTTCAAGTTTTCTGTACACACTGTCGCACAATCCTTTTCGTGGAGCCTCATAGAAGCGTCTCCAGCGCCATGCTGCTCTTGCATTTGATCCAGCGTTCCGATTCGCAAACACGTCGGCTTCTGAATGTATTTGATAATTGTTCACACTTCACGCGTCCCCTATGTTGTTTCCTCGCACAAATCACCGTGTACTTGGGCCGGCAAGCAGGTTGAAAGCCACCCTACCCGCCATGTCTGGGGGAAGCATGAAAGCATTGCACTTGGCCTAGAGAGTCCGCGGGGAACTAGTCAATCACCTCGTGGAAACACATGAATAATGAGCCCAGACGTTATTATAAAATCTTAACACAAAGTGCAAGTTTTCCAACTGGAAGAGGAATTGCAGGTGGCTTTTACCACTCTGAGCTCGAATTTTGAGCGGAGCTCTCTCCCTGCTGCACACGGCATGACCGCTTCGACCAGCAGCAATGATTCGCGCTCCACCGATTGATGGAGATTGCAGCGTAGTGTGCATTTCGTTTCCCTGTGCTTGCGATACCGGCATCTGCATCACAGAGCGGGGCCAGCCCGAAGTAGCATTGACGTTGCCATCACCATCACCACTTCAAGACAAGCTCTCCGCCTGCCCCTACAAATCACACAGAAGCTCCGGTGGCCTTGTGTTTTCACCAATCACACCTCATGTCAAGCAACACAATTCTCCTCCAAATCTCATCGCGTCTATTCGCTGCAACCAAGTTCATCCGGTCATTGCAAACCAGTTCAGAAATGCAACCACAAACACGTTACAAATACTCTCTGAAGCTTGAAAATTCAAACATCCTGTCGGCGATTATTGCTTTTTCCTCCATCTAACCAGCGTTCACTTGCATCTGCGCCTAGCATGTTCAGGCGGGTCCACGACAAGTGGATGAGTGGCCCGGGGATGCGTGAATGATGTCCGGAAACAGCTTCATCAACTTTGCATCGCATCCTCGTTGCAGAAGATTTGAATCAAAAATCAAACTCGGGACGGGGGATCGGGGCTGAGAACAGAGAGTGGGTGGGGACAGGGGCTGAGAACGGGGATGGAACTGGGAACGGGGGAATGAGGATGGGGTCTGGGAACGAGGGAAAGGGGCAGGGCATGGGATACAACGATGGTTTAGAGATGTGGGTCAATTTAACAAAAATTTGGGTCATTTTAACATTTCGCTATATCTACATATAACTTCAATCATTTCTTTCATGAAAGTTGTAGAAGTGCTTTCAGAACCAAAATTTTCACCTTGGGATTATTAAAGGTCACCACTTCAAACTCTTGTCAAAGAATCACACTACTTCTAAATAACTCAAGAAGTTATCAATAAGTTTAAACATATTTTGATTTAATAAAGTAAATCGCATGGACTGATTAGTGATGTCAAGATCTAAATAACGATAACAACACCACATCTCAACCAGACTTTTCTTTCACCAATACTCTTCCTACAAATTATGCAGTACAAAAATATGCAGAAGCAACAATTACTTTCTCATGATTTAAAAAAATCCAAACTGTACAGGATAATTGGCAATAAATTAAAGCACAAAGTCCACCATAAAAACACAAGTAATCGGATGCTTTTCTTCTCAACCACTTTGCAAAACACATACACACACACACACACACTATTATTTACACACAGCATTTCCAAAAATAAGTGTTTTGATGAAGAAGGGAAATTGGACACGGCATTAGAGCATTACAGAGCATTCCAGAACCAGTGTGCAGTGTTGCTCTCTATGTTGCGTCGCTGCAGAAGAGCCTTGTTTTCAGGCGCTACTCGGCGACGTGATTTGTGGGTGGGCGAGATGTACCTCTAAAGCCTCCTGCCTCCGCTCTTGTTTGATGCTTTTCTGTAAAGCGGATGGTTATAAATGCACACACGAGTACATGTTCTGTAGTGCTCAAGGAATGCTGAAGAGATTTCGTTGATTGCAACTCACTGAAGGGTGAGGGTGCCCGATGACAGGATCGCAGTCTGTGTGTGGGGCAGAACATCGAAAGCCAATTCAAATATGAAACAGGCGGCAGCTGGCCGTGTTTGCAGCGATGATTTTTGCGGAAAGTTTGGTTTCGAACGTAGAAGGCGAATAAAATTAACCAACATTTCTGATGACTTCGAGAACGACAGCTCATCTTTCCGTCCCTACTCTCATCTCCCCTTCTGTGTCGCATTGTATAACGAACTTGGTCGGAAATACCACCCCCCTAAGACTCATCCGCCATAGAAAAATTTGAAGAATCGCGCGAGAATAAGCAAAAACCCAGAATGGATGGCAGTGGGTAAATCCCTAGGTGGCCTCGGTGTATGCGAATCCGCTCTTCTTCCCCCCTAGGAAACCGATCCCGGCGGTGCTCCCCACCAGGACAGCAACGCTGAAGCGACCCCCGAGGCGGCGGTTTCCAGTCTAGTCCCACCTGTCACAGCGGGGGAAATGGATGGGGTGTCCCGGCTTGGATTAGAAAAGGTGGCGCGCGGCCACGTAGAGTATTATTTGCAAGACCCCATTCGATACTCCTGCTGCTGCTTATTAAAATTTTAATTTAAAAATATATATATATATATATATATATATATATATATATCGAGAGAGATTGACCAAAAGGACCTGGCTCGGCATGGGGAAATGACAGTGGTCGGAGAACCTGAGGTCAACCTGGGAAGAGAGAGGAGAATTTGAAAAAAGTAAGGCTTTGAACCTGGGCATTCATGCGGTGGCACCCGAACTTAAAGCCTTCCGAACCAGTCGGCGTTGGTGGAAACATGGTCCCCTTGTGCCAGTCTTTCCAGGGAGGAGCATGGCTTTTTATCTCCTCCAATCTCTAATATTAACTTCATGGTTCCAGTCCCTCCAGTTGATTATATATGTGTATGTGCATATTGTGAGAGTATTTGTGTCTATATATGCTCGTTTATGCATGCTTGAGTTGGTTAACAAAGACAGCACAAGATTGGTAGAGAGGAGGGTGAAGCTAGATTCTAGCCAAATTAGGTGTTGATATGTACTGGGATTCATCACACTAGGGTTGCCACAGCTGTACCTGGACGCATGTGCAGATTTCGTTTCATTGTTAGTTTAATTGTTTTCTATTTGACAAAATATAAGTTGAATAAAACATTTGAGATTGTCAATACTGTCGAATATCAACGACGGATACGAAGGAGACCCCAATTCATTGTCCATCCACCTTCTATATGATGAGTTAGAGCTTCGAGAGCATGACAAAAAACGCACACAAAGAAAGTTTTTAAACCAGTGGATAGATAATCAGCAGTCGATCGACATCCACCACCACGATAAGAACGCGATCCTAGGATTCAAAATGGATGAATGAAATATGGATGTGCACGAATGGAAACCCCGATAAATGACAACCGTGTGAATGACGGATCCGGCCAACGGGTCTGGACGGACGGGGCAGACGGATGCAACCGGGCACGGGAAGGTTTCCGACCGTGGGATGAACCTCGAGATCGCGGAGCCGTTGGATCCCAGCGGGGGTCGGATTGTCCAAGGCGTGACGGAGGGATGAGAGCGACGGCCACAGAACGGACGGAGCCGCGACCGGAACTTGAACGACAAACGGGGCCGGGGCGACACGCGCCGTCCGATGCCGTGATCGACGGCCGATCGCGCAGTACCGTTGCGGGTCCCTGGACATAGCCGTTGAGGCGTGGGGCTGTATCAGGAGGGGCCTGGAGGGAAGGGTCAGAATTCGCAATCCCGACGACGTTGGCCCTGTGCGAGTCTCGCGACCTTTTCACCCGAATTCGTATTCTCCTCGTGATGCAGTTCGCATGTAATCCTTGAGAGTCCTGCATTGTCTCCCTCTTCGCGGTCGCATTTGACAGTTCTCGTAGTCGTTGAGAGGAGAGTTCTCACAGAGGTGGAGTAGCGCTTGCGAGGGAAATGCTCTTATCTTGCGGTTTCGTGTGGGGGAGTGAGTAAGGTGGTGAGAATCACGGTGTTGCTCTGCGACTTCGGTGCTTTCTGGAGTGTGTTCGTATGCGGAGGAACAGTTTACAGATCGGTGATCGGCGACTTGGTCTTTTGAGTGTAGTTTCCCAGTATTTTTGAAAGTGAGATTATAGCGGGGTCTGTTGGAGCTGTCTTTGGCACTACTCTCTTGGGTCCTTAGCATGTGATGTGAAAGGTAGCATTGAATACAGTCAGGTAAGTTGAGTGCTGGCGCCGTTTTTCTCGTAATTGCCTTTCGGTGTCGTTGGCCGGAGCTTTCTGAAGTATTTGTAATTAGCGGACAGCGTGTGTGAAGCGCGTCGCCGTGCTGTCTCCGGTCTCTTTCCGGACGAGCTAATTCTACAACCATGTTCGCTACCAGGGTGAGTAGCACTCTCTCTATGTATGTCCCTCTTTCCATGGAAGTTGATCTTGGTTATGGTTGACAGGCTTGGTATGACCACCTGGGGCATGAAAGATGTAAGTTCAGAGTTCCTATTACATCGAGAATGACTGAAAATGACTGCCTAGAGCTTCCCAAATGTTTGGAAGCCCCTGGGGTGTTGTTGAACATTAAAGCCTCCTCTGGACCGCTGCATTAGCTATGGTGTTTTATCGATAGGGTTGTGGGAATGGTGCAGCAATCCAGCTTCGGTGATGAGAACAAAAGGGGCGATGGCGTCAAAGCCGCTGTTGCATCCAAAGGTTCGCATTCCTGATAGATTCAGCCTTGATAACCATTTCCTTTACACTGTGCCCCGGGCATTCGAGGTCATATCGCGTCTGGAGTTCCATTCTGGCGACTCCTGTATTGCAGTGTCCCATCGGATGTGATGGTATCTAAGGATAAGTTTTCGTAACCTAATCGGACGCGGTTTATTACCTGCAGCTCCCGCTGGAATTGGAGCTCGCAATACTAGGGCAGCGCAAGCCAGCAACCGCAGGGCCCTTGGGGACATTGGCAACCTCGTCGGTGCCATGTCTGTCCGCTGTAACGTCAGCAAAGATGGCGTAGTGGAGTAAGCCCTGTCACAGACTCGCATTGATTATGGTAATAAATAACTATGATGACATTGTCCTCGACGGAAATCTGATCATATGCATTCTACCCAGTTTCAATGCCCTGACCTTAGATAGTTTGTTCATTGCCCAGAAACGCCGTCGTCAAGCCAGCTGCATTGCAAGCCGAGGCTATCACACGCCCCATTACTAGGTATGTGTCTAGTGATTCCTATTCTTTGCCAGACTGAAGTGTGTGCACCTCTAATTTCCCACATCCTGATGTTTACTGGGCACGCGCTTCCATTCATATCATAACCTTTTATCCCCCCTATGAGCAGGAGGTTTGGAGCCAGTCTTCATAACCAGCAAGCCAATGCGAGGGTTCCTCAAGCTGTGGTGAGATTCGGCACGTGAACTTCCCTGTTGCTGTCTTTAACCTGAATTCCGTGAGAGTTACTGGCCATCTCTATTCGGGGCTGATCCTCCTAGCATGCTTGTGTTGCAGCAGGTCCCCGCTCCCTCTGAGGTTGTGAAGCCAGAGCCTAAAAATGCAGACGATGTGGCTGCATGGGGAGCAACCAAGAGGCGCACGACACTGCCCAAACCCAGGGAGACTAGCACCGGAACTACGGAAGTGGTGTCTGCGGAGGCACAAGCCGGGCTAAGCAACGCCAGTGTTGCGGCCAGCTTGCCTGGAAACCCGGCTCGCCTAAAAGCTCATGCCCGTTCCAAGGTCGTGAGAAAGGAGAAGGAGCAGACTCTCACCGCCACTCTGACCGAGCGTAGCGAGATAGCACGTCGTGTTTTCGATGCTGAAATGCAAGAGGCCGAAGAGCCCGTTCCCAACATCGATGAGCACGACGTGGGTAACCAGCTCGCTGTGGTGGACTACATTGAAGATATATATAGCTTTTACCGCAAAACCGAGGTCCAGAGCTGTGTGCCGGCAGATTATATGTCCCGCCAATCCGATATAAATGAGAAGATGCGTGCGATTTTGATCGATTGGCTTATCGAGGTACACTCTAGTCCTTGACTTTGAAATGACCAGTATCCCTGTTGAACTGTTTCATACCAGGTTCGAACCTCAGCGATACTATACTTATGCCATCTATGTCACAGGTACACTTGAAGTTCAAGCTGATGCCAGAAACATTGTTTCTGACAACCAATTTAATCGACCGTTATCTTTGCGTCCAAAGTGTCTCCCGCAAGAACCTCCAATTGGTGGGAGTGACCGCAATGCTGCTTGCAGCCAAATATGAGGAGATATGGGCTCCCGAGGTCAACGACTTTGTTCACATCTCTGACAACGCTTACACGCGGGAGGAAGTTCTCAACATGGAGAAGAACATGCTCAACACTTTGAAGTTCAACCTGACGGTGCCAACACCCTACGTGTTCATTGTCCGGCTTCTCAAAGCTGCCGCATGTGACAAGCAGGAGAAGTCATCTCCCACGCAGCTCGAGATGGTCGCCTGGTTCCTGGTGGAGCTTTGTCTCACCGAGTACCCCATGATCAAGTACGCTCCCTCTCAGCTGGCGGCTGCAGCTGTATACACTGCTCAGGTTACCCTGGCTAGGCAACCCCGTTGGGGCCCTGCTCTTCAACGCCATTCTGGATACTCCGAAGCTCACATCAAGTGAGTGGCCTCCCTCCGCTCCGTTATTTGGGTTTTCTTTGCCAGATTGCTAATGTGTGCCTGGTTCTGACCTTTGCATTTGCGTCCATGGTTGTAGGGAGTGCGCATGCATGATGGCTACTTTGCACAGCAAAGCCAATGAGGGAAATCTGACTGTGGTGCACAAGAAGTACTCTCTCGCGAAGCTGCTAGCCGTAGCAAAGCTTCCCCATGCCGCCTCTTTGTGTTCCCCGCAAACCAGCAGCTGACAAGCCGGCTACTGAATTCCACCTCAAGCTTACGCACCCGCTCTTGTGGTACTCTTAACCACTGCCTGAGCTACAACTTCAGGCCTACGCAGTAGGAGTAGTCAACCATCCCAGTATATCCGATTCTCCGAATCTCATGGTGCATCTGGGCCCCTAGTTGCGCCTGAGTAGATTAGGCCGCTCAGCTGAAACTTCCATCTTCTGCCGGTTAAGTTGGCAATGTTAGAAGTCTTCGGCGAGTCCTAGCGTAGTAGAAGCAGAAATTGAAATTCCACGGAGCTGCTTCAATGCAATTTGGATCGTTCCTCTTACTGAGATAGTCCATGTGGCTGATATGTGTAGTCCTGTTAGCCGCTAACTGGATGCAACTAACTCCGAAACCCAGGAGGAATGAAGGGAGGGAGTAATCCTACTATATTATTAGTTGCAGCCACTCGCTGTACAAAGCCCGAAAATGATGTGGCATCTCCGCCACCCTCAATGACACTGAAATTTTCATTTTTGTTATGATGATATTCGTTGTAATTATGAACTTTTGAAATAAAAATAAAACAGGCATTTGTCCGATCATTACCACTGCAGTGACGGTCCAAAAGCCTAACTTAAACCAAATTAACACCAGAACCCATCATGCACTTGTATTTCCTATGTATGGATCTATTTTATGTATGTGTGTAATTTATGACCTAACGTCTAATGTGTGCAAGAAATATTGAGGTTTCCAAACAAAACAGTTATAGAACTTGACAACCTCATCAATTTGTTTTTGGCAGCATTTTGTCACTCGAAATACGATGGGAGCGAGGACGGGGGACATGAGGAACGAGGATATGGGGAACAGGTGTACATGAGGAATGGGGACGGTTGGCTGGGAATGGGGATTGATTGCGAAATCGGATGCTTACATGAAGGGGTCATAAGCGGGTAACAAATAGACGTCAATCGGGTATCTTCAGACAGTTGCCTTAATATACAAGATGTTTAGACGTGAACTATTAATTAATTTCTAATAAGGATTAATTGTTTCAAGATTTGAAATATTTAAAACTAAAGACAAAATTTTGAGTTTAATAGATATTGTAAATATTTTATACATGTACATACTGAAAAAGAAAATAAATATATTTACATGTATCGTCTACGTTATCAATTCTATGTATAGAAGATATTCTCACATTATCTCTTAGTACATGTTTACTTTTCTTTTGTGGCCCACATTCATGTAAGTCAAGTATTGCTTGATTTTGCAAAGCTATCTGAATAATATTTCTATTCTTTCCAATTGCAAATACTAATCAATAAAAAAGTTTCAATGATTGAATAGAATCTCAACAATAGTTATATGAGATTAGACAATCACTTACATATAGCAGTTTTTTAATACTCTAAACAAATGCAAAATATATCAAAATTTATATTTTGGTAAATTACTTTATTACGTACTCTTTAATAAAAATATCATCTTTCATCTAGATTACATGAGAAACCTAAAAAAACTAAAAACAAACATGTATTTGATATCGTCTTACTATATCTAATTAATAAATAAGTATTTATTAGAATCTTTAATTAGTGCTACTCTTATACATTAGAAAGCAATATGAATTGCATCTGCTACTTGAAAAAAGTACTTCTCTTAGATAATCCCAAAGTTTGGGATATTGTCACCAAAATTTGGAATATAATGTTTATGTTTAATAGCTTTAGCCTTACAAATAAACCTTTTTGAGTTTCTTCACTTTGAGTTCCAACACTTCTGTAATTCTTCATCACTTCATACTTTTATGTATAAACCAAAAAATATTTGTTTTATTTTTATGTTTCTTGAAACATTTACATAAAAGTTGTATTTTTAAATATGCCAACTTCACATCAAGTGGATCAAACTTTGAAATAAAATATATATGTATTTCATTTGAAGTGCACATAGTCTTTCAACAAATGGGTTGACTTATTGGTCTATCTAGTTTTATCTCCTTAGGAATTTTTCCATGTCCTAATTTATTATTTACTAGCATAAACTTGTACCATTAGGCATTGCAATCTCTGGTACATTCATCCATGCTTGTTGTTCCTATGTTCCTTGATTTTCTTGTTCTCATGTTCCCTGAGTTCCTCAAGTTTTATGCGCTCCCTTCCTCTTGGCCAATCCAAAGCCTTCTTTGTCTCTTCATGTTACAAGCAAGCTGCCTTACATGATATATACATGTACACATATCCACATAATACTAATTCCAGTGAAATTACCTAAAAGAAGTTTACATGAGTTCATACTTGATTGCATAAATAGCAATACAATTCATCAACCATTATGCCAGAACTTCCAAAGCCTATATTTTGATTAGCTTCAATACGGTTACAATCCAAAGCACTAAGGAAAAGACAGCCATGTACTGGGGATGGGTCTTCATTCGCGATGAACGTACATTCGTCGAAGGACACTCAATCTGTCCGTCCCGAAAAGGAAAAAGAAAGAGAAAGTAAAAGCGGAAGGAAATCAGGTTCTGAAAGACGGCGAAGAAAATACCCGCAAAGCGGTGCCAGGTTTGTAATCCGAGCCTATTGCCGGATGGGCTCGGGTATTCCAACCCTAAAACGCTCCCAACAAAACCTAGGATGCGGAATTATGAAGATCCTCTCTGCGAATTCGAGTTTCGACAGTTCTAGAGCCCCTCAGCAAGCGGCCGGTGTGTGTTCTGGTGTCTGTCTCGGGGGTTACCCTAGAGTATCGTTCAGTCGTTCAACATGGCGATGCCAATCAAGCCTGGAAAGGCTGGAGTGGAGGAGGCAATTGAGACTGTCCACCGCATTCGTATCACCCTTTCTTCCAAGAATGTGAAGAACCTCGAGAAGGGTAGGCTGCGTTTCCTTCCCGCATGGTTTGTCCATATTTTAGGGTTCCTCGTTCTTTTCGCGGAGGATCTTATGTAGGTCGTGACGCACTCTGCTGCTGCGTCTTTCGTCTAGGGGTTTATGAAGTGGTGCCCAAGTCTCAAGATTTTATTCTTATTTCTATTTTATTTTGTTTTTTTGTATTTTGTATTTTGAGGTGTTTTTTCGCCTCTTTTTACTGAATAGTGCATGGAATAGTTTTTAGAGTTTGATTGGTTCGTGAGAGGTTAATAGATGTTTGGTTTATATGTTTTTTGTACCATGTCGCTGACGGTTTGGTTGCGTGGTCAGTGTGCGCTGATCTGATCAAGGGTGCTAAGGACAAGAGGCTCAAAGTGAAGGGTCCTGTTCGCATGCCCACCAAGGTGCTGCACATTACCACCAGGAAGTCTCCTTGTGGGGAAGGTATGTTTTATTTCAGATTGTCTGTAATTTCGTATGGCTGTGACTGTGATTCGCTACATGGATGGCTTTTATCATGGAAAGCCGGCGTTAGTCCTGAATGGATTGATTTCTGTATCTGTCATGCTAGACTTGACTCTGTTGAAAATTAAACCGCAACATCAATATTACTCCTTTCAATGTAATTATTACCTGTTGAAGTTAATTTACCTGGATTCCCATGTGCTCGATGTCTCCCATGGTATAGTGCCTGCTAGACGGGTTATCGGTTCTAGTCTAGTTATCAGCCAGGTTGTAATGACAGTTGTGTGTAATAATCACTCACTTTTTTAAGACTATTCGACAATATCTCAGCATGCGACTGGTCTAACTCGTAAACCTTGTGACCTCGCAGGTACCAACACCTGGGATAGGTTTGAGTTGCGTGTGCACAAGCGAGTGATCGACTTGCACAGTCCCTCTGAGGTTGTCAAGCAGATCACCTCCATCACTATTGAGCCTGGTGTTGAGGTGGAGGTTACTATTGCCGATGTTTAAGTGAGCGCTTCACAGTGGATTATTGTGAATGCCATGGAACATTCATTTTATACTTCCATTTCATGAAATCCATGGATTTGAGTTCCACTTCCACTCGCGTTATTCATGATGTTTTCTTTAAATTGTTTCATTTCTGTATGTTTTAGTGTGTGTGTGTGAATTGTGTATTACATTGTCATGTCTGAATCCCCCCGTGTATCATCCGGCTGTCCTTGTCAACAGTACTGTATGTAGGGTCATTGTGTATGAGCATGTATGTGGATGATGTACGTAATTTTTCTATAGCTTGTAGAATCACTGTTGCTTCTCGTGAAGCAACATGCTATATACACTTGGAGGTGTAGTTTTATATCATTAGTAAGTCGTACATATTTCTATACAGGTCCGAACAGGGACATCTGAATGGGTCTACGTCATTTTAGTTTGACACGTTCGGTTGTAAACAATTTTCATGCGCGTGTGTCGACTCAATCAAGTTGAATTTGTGTGTACATCCTTGCTAAGCTTGGAAAGAATGTTGGTGTGATTTCTAACAGTTCAAACTGCTTTTAAAAGTTGCATTAGGACATCTCAAATACACTAAGCAGTGAATACACCGGCGTTAGCTACAGTAGTCTTGAAAATGTAAGCTTTTTACCTTCTGTGTGCAAGTAACGTAGAATACTGTCACTTCAACAAGAATTGGGCATCAAGTACACAGAATATTCAATGCCGATTAGATTATATATAAAATGTTAACATTTGTCACACACGGAAATCAAATAAAATGTACTACAATGAATAGGAGAAGTGTGGTGGTAGAACTTTCGTATCAATTGTGGGCGTTGTGTAGAAGGAGAACAGGTTGGGAGGGGTTTTTCTTATAAGGATACATGGGTTTTGTTTTTCAACCCAATTTTTTTTTCATCGATGTCTCCTAATATGTGTTAATACCATTTGAACTGGTACATTCGAACTCCAGAAACAAACAAAAACAGTTTGATATACAATGATCAAACATGTTACAATTTTGTTTTTGTTTTTGAATTCGTTTTTAAGAAAAAAGACTTTTTTCCAACACGTTCGCAGGACTAGTAATTTTTTATCGAGAATATACTACTGAGTAAAGTAGATGATATTGTTGAATTGAAGTTACCAGTCAAACTAACACAGAGTATCAAACTGGGTATATTTGCCAAAGAAGCTAACGATCTACTGGAAAACAACAAACCAGGAGGATGAAGTATCAATGTGAATTGATCCAAAGCAGAAGCTTGAATTGTTGCTTCACCTAATCTCCCAAAACAATCAGAAACAAACTAATAAGAGAGGATTTAGATCCTGTTGCAATTGTAACTGATGCTTCGTAACTAGGATTTCGTAACACCACCCCGTCCACGATTGTAGAGCAGGTAACTGAATCTTCTCGTTTTGCTTTTACTCGTACTTTTCTCTAATATATTTGTCTTGTTTAGACCATCTCCTTTGAAAGTATAATCCGCGCATGTTGAGGCCATGCAGCATTTACTCTTGAATTCATTGGAAAAAATCTTGCACTACGTTTTGTTCACTCGAGTAGATGTCTACGTAAACACATGTAAAGCAGGATCATGTGATTTTCTTAGCTCAGGGAACACGCTACCAACCTTTCCTGACTGACTTGTGTTAGTTTATTGTCTTTTCTACATAGAAGTCTAGAGGTACAAAGCTGGTGGCATATGTTTTTAATGGTGTTCCATTGTCTGGAGCTTGAGGCGTCTTATGTACGTTGGGCTGAGCCACTATGGATGCTCTCGACTGTACATGAATTTTTCATTTTGCTTAAGATAAAATGTTTTACAACTAGGCTTTATATCCACAATTTTATAATGGACATAAAATACCTTCATCCACACTTCGATCCTACGCAACTTTGTTAAAGTTGAGGATTGTGAGTTAAAAGCTCTACCCAAAAATGCAAATAAATTTTATTAAATCTGGTAAGAAACAAGAAACTAGCTGGGCAGATTTTCTTATTAAATCATATGTATACTAGTTGGATACTCGAAGAATGTTGAATCTTAGAAAGAACTATTTTAGGTGCCATACTCTTGCAATGTTAATGATATCCACCTGCATATAAATTTGCCAATCAATAATTGAACGCAACTAACTCTAGCACTGATACGTGTCACCAACATTAACTGCCACTATCACTTGACAACACAAGAAGAAAAGAAAAGATGAAAGCGTCCGATTTGAGAATTCAGATGTGTGTAGAGATAAGTTCCGAAATGCTCTATTCAGTATTTCACTCCGTCATTGGAACACAAATGTAGAAAAGCAAGGCAAAGCTGGTGATTAGAATAGTCGATTTTATTTCAGGATATTTTTCAACGGTATCACACTAAATCAATAAAGTCGAACAAAAACCGAATCTTCGAGTGGAGGTATTACAATCTTACAGTCTCTGCACTGATCAATCTGTGTACAAAATCATCGCACGAAGCACAACATTCACAATTGTACAAACACCGCAGAGCTGCGTCGCATCGACGGTGTTTTTAAGCACTTGCTGGCTCCACCACACGGTCGGGAAGGCCGAACTTCTTCTGCCATCCTTCGATGATCATGTCGTCGGGTGAGTTAGTTTTCTGGAAGCTTGGGCGACTTTCGAGCAACTGCATATACCCAAATTCTGTTATTTCATGAATTGAGGGTATCAAGTGGGTTTTATATTATAAATGGTGCAATAAAGGTGTTTAACGTTGGAGTTTTAACTAGATGAAAAGAAGAGGATGCACTTACCTTGATGTATTTATGCAAAGCTTTGTGCTCAGATGGGATTTTGAAGCCCATGTAATGGGCTAGTGACACTCTCATGTGGTGCAGTTTAGGGATCAATGCATAATCAGAGTCGGTTGGATTTTCTCCGGCAATATATGGACCCTGCACATGTAACAATGGAAAAAACACTGTTGGCTAAAAACCTCGAATTGTTTATTACGGTGGCAAGAACAGCATTATTTTCTTTTACATAAACAGTCCACAATATGTTATGATCTGAAGGCTCTACGAGCCACAGGCGTAGACTTAGTTCAAAAGTGCACGTCTACTCACCTTGGTTTGCAAATGCTGATCCAGAGCAGCAAGCTCCTTCAACAACTCCTGCTTGGATTGGTCATCAGCATTCTTGCTCTTTAGATAGGTTGTGAAGGCTTGGAAGATGTTCAATCCACTGATCATGCAATATTCGAAGAACTTGTAAGCATTTTACACTCAAAGTTATACAGAATTCTAGTCCATGCTTTAGGTTAACTGACAAGCAAGACAAATTGGATTGCATTACCGAAGTGAATAAACCGAGCAACAAAACTTACATTTGTTTGTACTCCTTAGGAGTCGCCAGGGACACTTCCGGATACTTTTTCTCAAGATGCTCAGCTATCTTGTCAGAATCTTGAATCCATTCGTCCCCATCGCGAAGCACAGGCATCAGACCTTTAGGGTTCTTCTCCATAAACCTTTGAATTCATCAAACCACAAGTTAGAGCAAGCAGCTCAGCAGATGACACCAGAGAGATAATTAGGTTCAAAAATCGTGGTTTGAACATTGATAAACGTACCAGTCAGGCTTGTTTTCGCCTTCTTCGATGTAAGTAGCTGTGTAGGGTAGTTTCTTCTCTACACACATACAATTCAGTTATGAAGTAAGTATAATGAGGTAGAAAAAAAAAAAAAGGAAGGATCTACAGCATCAAACTAACTGCGATTCTTGCACTCTGTTTAGAGTGTGAGAGTGGGAATTTGTACCTTCCAATTCGATGTAGATGCGTTGCGAGAATGGGCCTGCAACCGAGAAACAATCTCAATGTTAATCATCAAATGGTCCCCAAGTTTCAATCCAGTACCCATGCTCATAGTCACATAAATATGCACATTATTGACCTCATGTTTCGGTAAGTATCAACAACTGTACAGCGTTTCCAAGCAACGCAAAGATCAGTTCTAAAGGGTATTTCGTGACTGTCAAAAACTGCCACTAGTCAACATCCAATCGAAAAAGAGGAATAGAAAATGCTGTTCGGAATGCAGAAACGCACAATCTCCTCGCTCCTTGCTAGGGCTGCCGGATCCGGACTTGGCCTTGCCAAAAGCTTCCAAATCCAAGCCAGCGTTTGCAGCCATGGCGTAAGCCCTTCCCTTGCTTGTTACGTATGACTTTGGTACACTGACTTTCGTGCCTTGAAAGGGTACCTTGGATGCTAGTCCTGTGGAGGGCACTTGGACAATGGGTCGAAATTTGGTAATGCTATTGAAAGACGGACCTGTACATGCAGCCAAAAACCATAATCAGATTACAATGTTGGGCTTATCGGTGAAGAATAAACCAAAGCAAGCCATCAAAAGCAATCTGCTCCACTTCACATAACTGCAGGAATCGTAACACAAACGTGCTATCACCATCAACCTCTCACTATACACGAAACTTAAGTCCAGTGGTTGGTAATGTGCAAAATAACAGGCGAAGCAACAGCAACTCGAAGTTTCGAGTTCACTCACAAAGTGTGGCGTAGGCGCGAGTGAGGAGAGCTTGCTGTCGCAACATGTTTATAATCTCGGAGTAACGCTGCACCCAGTTACTGTTCGTTCGTGATGTTGGAGGAGGACTGTGATGCACATTAAAACGTGGGCCAAAAAGGAAAGAACATACGTTGCGAGGCATGCAGATGCCAAGTGGACTTCTCCCTTCATAGGCAACTGGCAACGGCATTGAGGGGTGTTCGCCACGAAGCGGCTTCACTTTGGTAGTATCTACACAATGGAGCGCATTACTCCGACCATGTCCAGAGGATACCGGACTCCCTTGAAATTGGATACTCCTTCACTCGTGATTTAATTTATTTATTTTGCAAAACTCCTTGATGTTGTAACCGTAATCCGTAAGTGTGTCATGTCAAAACTGGAATTGTTGCACACATTCTGGTTGGCTAACGTCAGATGCAGGGCTATTTTGGAATGCTACGAAGAAGAGTTTAGGTGGGATATTGGAAGAAAAGACCCAAATGTCTGAATCCAATTCTGGAGGCACTCAGGGTGGGCTTCAATGCTGTAGTTGCAATCTACTTGTTACGCACAGGGTTTCCACAGAAAACATGAATTTCCGAAATTTCCAAAATTAGAAAACGCCATAAACGAATCACTACTCACTATTGCCACTTGTTCATGTAGTTGAACCTCAGGACCTTTTTCACATAAGCGGAAATGACTCTTCGGACCTTATAAAACGCAAACACAAAATACATAAAAATGCCACTTCAGCCAAAAGGTGTTAAACTGAAGGCAAGAATTATGCAGTTTTTTTGTCTTCCAGTAGCCTGAATCCATGTGGTTCAGTGCCCCTCAAAGTGTTGCCTTACGAGCCTCTGTCAGGTAAATATCTTCGATAAAAGCTTGCTGCCATTGGAAACACGTATAAGCAAACGTAATGTTGACATGCATTGCTCTACCATCCATGTGAAAACTTTTTTAGGGGTGTAGCCAATAAGAGGCATTCGGAATCATACTTGGAACCCTTGAATACTTCTAATTTTGAAGCCACTGCCATTTGTCAGTGTTTACTGAGTTCTAGTTTAAAGCTAGAAAAAACAGGGCAATGTGGACAACTCAGGACGGGAGCACTACATTGGGAGGGTCGAATTGCAACTCAATGGTGACTTTGAAATTAACAGGCTGCACCAATATCCGCATAACAGTGCCACTAGGATGGACTTCCTGCTTTGTGGGCAACGCCACAAGGCGTTCCAAAGCGCGCCAACTAGGTCCTCCGATCACCTGAAGTCAATCATCAACTGTGAGATCCTACATAGGTATGCTCAACATCATGCGCTCGAAGAAACAAAAAGGGTAAGTTCCAGTACAGGTACATGAAATCTCATTTTGTGTAGACTTTCTGTAGAGGGTGTTATTAGATCTATGTTATTTAGGTGTCTTCAGTGCCTGTGAGATGAACCATGGTGGAAAATGTCTCAACTTAGAAAGCAACAAATGATTCATTTATACGATGAACTTTCACGACTTGATTTTGATTCAAATTCTTTAAGCGTCCACATGCTGCAAAAGCATGTGCACTACCCAGAAAACTCGAGTCTCACTTGCGATCTATTATCCGGTAAATAAGTTTCGGTTGCTATATAGCATATGCGTCATTGCAGGGCGCAGGTTATGCTTACTTTTCCAAATACAGAAAAGCTGCCGTTCCACTCATGGTGGTCATCAAGGCTGAAAAAGAACTCGCTTGTGCCCTGTAAATTGTCACTTATAAAGGTTAGCTCGTCACTTACAAATAGCAGTGCAAGAGCTGCATACGGACATGAAAATGAGCATGATTTCCTCATAGAAGCATTTGCAAGCTTGTCAGGGTTCTTTGGTCAATCCTCTAAGCTCCACCACATTGTATGGGGACGAGTGCGTTTTCTTTTGCTCTACAAGTAAAACACAGCCTCATTGCAATCTTCCAATTATGTCATCCACAAAGACTGGCCACCCTGCTGACCGAGGAACGTGTTCCTTCAGTTAATAGAAATAAAGACACAAAAAAGTGCCAAATAATTACAGTGATGATCGCCACGGTCCCTTTGCTGTTGTCCAGAGTGGTTTCCAGAGGTAATTTGTTGTCTTCTTGACGTCCACATGAGTACAACCCACCTTGAACTAGCGCATACCTACCAGCACCAAATATTGGATTCGGTCAATTAAGAGGGAACTACAACCTTGAGAAACGATACGGTGAAATAAAGTTAACAACTGGCAAAATATTTACCCTTTGCGATGGACAGAACTCCCAATGTCTATTGTTGGACCTGAAGGTTCTGCGCGATATAAGCCACATCCATCAAACAGACCCCGATTGACCAACCTCTGTGCACATCAACAAATGTTCAAAGCTTACTACAGTGGCATTAGAATTGAACCAGCACCAAACTAGAGCTATTCGAATTCCACTGTTCCGTCCTACAATGGCTGTCGATTAACATGATGTTTGCAGATCTTCAAGAACTGTGATGTAAGAAATCCTAAATATGGGTTGTAATAAACCTCTAATTTGAAGCACACTCCTGCTCCGAAGGTTAAGAGATACTTTAATCGAGAGCTTCAAGATTGTGGATCAGAATTCTAAGCACGAAGCATTGAAGCTGCTTTGGTAGATGCATTCAGAAAATGAACAACAAAGCAACAAAAGACAACCTTCATATATTGGACAGTTTTGGGCGCCGCCTCTCTTTGAAGTTCCACCCTAATATCCTGCAATGTTCCAAAATACCTGATTAGATTGACCCTAGCCCTCAATAGTTAAGAACTCTCGACTTTGTGTACAAGTGATCAATGTGATGCAAGTAGGTTAAAATCGCCTCTTGGATACCGTACCGCACGGTACCCAAAAAGCGAACATGCAATCGCAAATAAAGCGAACAAGTGCTCCCATATAAAGATGTGATATCTAAAGCACACACGAAAACGATATGAAAAGCATGAATTGTTGCTTATTCTCGATGTTTGTTCTCGACATTCATGGCAACTGGTGTTTATGAGAGAATAGAACGTCACGCTTAGGGCGTCCTGAGGGTGGTTCAGGTGATAATCTACTTGAACATTTCTTCAAGAGAACTCGTACTACAGCTAATGTGCGTATTACTCTACAAACACCTATAATTGCAGATACTTTATTCACTTGAGAATTTTACAGCATACCCCATACTTAGTCGCAAACACAAGGTGCTCCTTTGGTCTTTGAGGATAACCTAATTGGACGCCCATCCACCCAACCTTCAAAAATTAATCTTCATGAAGACAAAAAAAATCTTATTTTATATAAAGCATTAAGAATGTGAAGAAACGATTACTAAGTCATCGAGGATGAAGCAAAGTGTAACAGCTTCTCCCTCTGTTTATGAACTTGTCTTATTGTTTAACAAAAAAACCAATTAAAGAAGTTCAAATCGTGCTTTTCCCAGGGACTTGGTTTCAGCATTCTCACAACAGTATCTGCTAAAACCAATCCCGGCAGGCAAAATTAATGCGGTGAGTTAAAGGATGATCTCGAGTGGATGCCTACATCAACAATTGGAATCATGAATAAAGACTTCAAACCCAGAAACGATACGAACTGTTTCCTGACAACAACGAGATCGGAGCAGTAATCTTCCTCCGGCAGGAAAAAAGTTGGGCACCCGAAAGTACCAATATTTTTCTTTCAAATTGGTTCTTTTAGGACAAAACACCTACGCTCTTGACCTATATTCTTTACGCCATAGGAAAGATGCTATCCTGGCACCGCTCAAGAAAATTCAGCGATCCATAACTTATCCACGTATGCCAATCTCTAATTCTCGAGACACAAACTCCATAGATGCTGCAGAATACACTAATATATGAGGGTTGAGCGAGATGAAACCATAGTACAGCTTTGTTGTGGCCGGCAGCTCGCTGTAGCCCACAAATGCGTCATTCCTGGACAATCCAGACACCAATTCTGGTTTGGCCATCACCATCGCCATCGCCAACGACATCACAATTCTCAATTTCTTCCACTGCTCGAAGCATGAAGTCCATTTTCTCCCCTCCATCTTCTGTAAACAACTCATCGGCCCAATTGACTTAATCTAGGATCTTCATTTTGAAAAACTGTGGGCAACAGAAACCTTCAACGACTCAAATTTTCAACGGAACACGCCCAGCAACTGGAGCACAACGAATCTTAGATCGGCATCAGGAAGACTGCGACCCCAACTAAACATGCTACAAACTTCGAAGCTGGGGGACCCTAAAGAACAACACGATTGAAACAAGCCTCTCTTCCTTCAAAGTAACGCAAAAGCCAACTATCCTCTAATTGTCATGAGCACAAGAGCAACAAACACCCGCTTTCTTCTTGCATAGACAGACTAAACCCATGCAACGAATCATACAATACACTCCACTGCTTACCAAAATTGCGTTGAAAAGCACATTTGCTGAGTAGAGTGTGTTCGACCAAGAGCATTGCCATGGAGTGTTGACGAAATTCCTTCCAAAACGGACATCGACACTGTGGATTCATCTACGAAAATTAAGTCCTTCATCCTGGCTAATCCTCCACATGGCTGCCCTTCCTGATCTGCACTTGACAAGCAGCTCCCCATTTGGATACCTCCTCGTAGACTTTTCTTGTTCATGGTGAAATTATTTAGGATTTCTGCTTCCGACATCATCTGCGGTTGATGCGAGTTTTTGAAAAGAACTGGCTGCTTCCGTAAATTAGATCACTATGACTTTGGTTCTTAGGGTTCAGGTCTCCTCCGTGGACTGTCGCATATTCTTGACTTTCGTAAAGCGACTTAGTTTTGTGAATTGCACTTCTTCTCTCCAATTGTTTCGGAATGTGTCAACCAATGTGCCACAGCAATGTAAGATAATATATCAAATGTTACTTTGCCACCGTATGAATGCAAATCCTTGCTGATACCCTGGACCCAACAAATTGTAATTAATAGTTGCTTGCTTATTGGGTCCAGAGCACCATTTTCTTCTAGGCGAGAATCTGTGAGCTTACACTCAAAAATATTTGACTTCAAAATCCAAAAAATTGTCTTCTGTTTCAATCGTGGTGGCCTCGTTGGATGATAAATGTTTTCCGAATCGCATGTTGCTCAAAAGTCACTGGCTGATGTAGGAAATAATGTAAGAACTGTACACATGAATCTGAAGACGACTGGCATGCATCCAACTCTAATTAACAGCCAGTTGAAGAGGGCTGCCCATGACAGCCTTGGCAATGCCTGACACAATCATTTTGATGTACATCTAATGTTGGGTGCCATTTCATCAGGCAACTTTCCTGCTACTTGATGTCATTTACTTGTGGCTCATTCTTGTTGATGACATGAGCCACAAGAATGACCATCAGCCAGTTTTAGTTGGTCCGATGCAGAATACAGAGCTCTGCATTTACACTAAACCCTGGCAATTATGTGATGTTTACAATTTATACTTGCAGGATTTCTTCAAGTAACCTGAGTGAAATTCATTTCCACGATCCAATATTTAAAATCTTAGTCGCAGTTATGCAGGTTGAAAGGTATTCAAATCTAATAGGAAGATAGTATTTCATGGAGATTAGTTTCAAAACAACAAGAAAGCTTTGGAAAACAATGTCAATGCTGTGGCTCGCAATCAGTTCAGGGTCTCATTTATGTACTTGCACCTAGTCGTCAGTAATCAACAAAAGGTTTATTTAAAGACTCATCGAGACGTCCTGTGAACCAAACAAAGTCGGCGCGCTGATCATAAATTGGCTCCCAATCGAATAACAGACCAGGTGCAAATCCAGTGTTCCTGTTGCTCACAATCCTGCAGCCGTACAAAAAAAGCCAACAACACGAACTACTTATCGATTGTCAATCGCTAGCTAGCACTGTTACAGCACCCCACACCACACCATTCCATCAGATGCAGCCGTGAAACAGTGAACAGACGAAGAGCTTGCTGTGCGACAACTTAGTCTCTCTGTCACGGATGGGTGGACTGATCTTATGGCCAGCAATCGAAACCCACTCTCTGATGCTTGATATCGCAAGGTGGAAGAGGAGTGGAAGGAGGATCAAAGCAGTCAAAGCCAGGTGTGCTATGCAAGCACCGCAAGGTGGAAGCGGATCCCCCCACCCTTGAGCAAGCACAGGAGAAGCTCCCTCAGATGAATTCCCATCGTGCATCACGCCCATGGCCACCGTTCTCGTCGCCGGTAGCTCCTTTGGCCAGCAATCGAACCCCGCCCTTCGATGGTTGAAATCGCAAGGGGGCAGAGGGGTCGAACTACGATCGAAGAAGTCAAAGCCAGGTGAGGTGAACACATCACTGCCGGACGTAAGTGGGTCTCCCCATCCTTGCTCAGGAGACCCGCTCTCGATCAGTTGTCCGCGCAAATTTGCCATCATCCGGCATTTAGCTCCATCTTGAAACAACAGAAGAAGGGCACCCAGTATCCTGAAGCAGACCTTGGTGGGGCTGGTCGGAACTCGCTCCATGAATACCTATGCATGCAGAGAAACATCGCTAGCACTTGGAATCGACACCTCTAATAATAGAAGAAAAAAAGTAAGCGCAGCTAATGTAAACAATGGAATCATGCAGGGAGGAGCTCACTAGAATCTAGTGACACACAGGTCAAGAGCAGTTGAAAGAGAAAGAGAAAGTGCAAACCTGCTAGCTGAGCAAGATGCCAGTGGTGCCAGAGGAGGGTTGTGGTGGAAGAGACGTGCACTATCCTTTTATAAAGGATGATAATACACACAAACATGCAACTAACGAGACAATAGCGTCATGGAACAGGGAGAGTAATATTCCAGGATTTAAGAGGTGTCTCTCTCCTCTGCTCTCCGACAGAGCCCTTTCGCCGTAATTCTCCTCGATTGTTTGTTTGGACCTCGACTGGAGCATGCTTGTTGACCATCCTTGACTGGTGTCGCCGCGGTGCTCTGAGATCGGTGGCAGTCTATCTGTTGTGGAGTTTTCCATTCTCTCATCTACTAGATTCTACATGCGTGGTTAGAAAACTCATCAGAGATTAGCGCGGTACCTCGCATTCGATTTCTTGGTTTTGAAAGATATTCTATCTTCTGTTCTCGAGAGTTTGGAGTTTTGTTTATCATAGCTTGGATAATGCCTCTGTTCGATTCCTGTTTATTAGTATGAAATCGAACCAGATTCGCTAGCAAAGTTTACAGTGCATCTCGGCATCATATATGCTCAACTGCAGTAAAATATCCCATCCCATCCTCAGCTCAGGAAGAGAAGATCTCCACTGTCGATGGCTGCCCACTCTGACGTGTGTCATGAACAGTTTAACCAGGCTTCATGTTCATACACGTATTTCTAATGAGCGATGAGAACTACGCGGATTTCTAGCGGATGTACACTACCTAGGCATTGTCAAATCATGTACAACCATGCTATGTATGAATTTCTAAGTTTCACAGAAAATCAGCAGAGCTGGAGGGTGAAAACAAGTCTTCGAGGATCCCCACAAGAACACGGTGGACATTCGATTAGTAGGCCAGATTAGTAATCCTATCCTGTTGTCACGTCTGTCCACTGTCATAGAATTCGAAAGCATCTTGCAAACATTCCAATCCAGTTAAGACTAGAACCCTGGTAAACTTCTCAACTTAGCAGCGAAAACCATTCGTCTATCGAGATCATGAACGTAGCTGTGAAACCATAAACCCACTGCCCTAACACCCTATTCAAAACTTCCCTATCTAAAACACGAATATCGAAAAAGAAGAACCCCTGAACAAAATAATCAGAAAGAATCTAATGCTCAGGACTCCAAAGCACCGTGTAAACAATCAAATCGCTACACAAAGACCACACCAGTCCGCTTCTGGTAGCTTTCAGAAATGTTGTACTGTTGTGAGAATGGCGATTGAACGATCTACAGACGTGGCCATGCCGCTCGATTTTATCCTGGCCTGGGGCGAGGACAACACCGCCATCGTGTAGAGATGGTCCCAAGTCTCGACGATGAAAGGGAGTTGGTCACAGCTGGGTGGTGCCTGAAGAGTGCGACCGCCATTCTGCAATTTTGCGGCTTAGAACGTGATGAAAACGACTGTTGGGCATCCTTGATTCGCCTTGCGGCGGAGGTTCAACGTCGCATCCGCAAAAGCAACGCGCCCCTCACCGAACACCAGAAAACTGAGTTTCTGGCTCTAAAATTGAAATGCATAGTGAAAAGATATGTCATCGTCGTGGAAACGACGTTTTGGAAACAGGAGAGGTCGTGCTGAAGATCAGATAGGGACCTGTGTTGCAATAAACATGAAACTGCATGGACTTTGTAATTTCACAACTGGGTCACTACCTTCCATCCAAAATGGCCCCTGAAATGTGCGTTGCTGCATTGATGCAATCACATACTCATTCTATGTTTTGTATCTGGATACATGTCGACCAATACATGACATAATGTTTGCATTGTATAGATGGTACGGTTGAATTGCATGTTTGTCATCTGTATTGATGTTTTTTGACAATTTGTCCTAGGGATTGGATTTTAGACTTCTATTGGGACTACCATATCATTCTACACAATGTTTGTTTTTCCCAACATTCTTACACCAAAATGAATCCTTCTGAACAAATCTTTTTTGCACTGCATAAACGCACAAAACTTGCAGAAAATTGATAGAATGCGCATCAGAACACTATAGGAAAAAAAAAAAAAAAAAAAAAAAAAAAAAAAAAAAACAACAACAACAACAACAATTAAATAATAAAATAACACACTTGCCGTCAAAAACTCTCCTTCGCAAATCCTTTAAACCGTTCCCTCACTTTCTGCCCGACATATCTGATTGAAGCCCATATTCACATTTCAAGTGCCAACCATACAAAACGGATACCAAAACTGTACAGAAGAAACTATATCACTTTTCCTATTTTTCTTTTTCTAAATGCGTGCCGTCAGAAACTTGGAATGAACTAAACCTTAAGCCTTGGAGTAGGGAGGAGTATTAGTGGGCACCGACGAGGAGCAGTGAGTCCAAAACTCTCAATCATGTCTAGGTGGGAAGGGGGCAGTCCACATGGTAAGCTCCACGCAAATCGATGCACCAGGTTGGCCAACGCCGCGCAAACAGAGATAGTTCCTAAGGCCTGACCCGGGCACACCCGCTTGCCAAACCCAAATGGCGATAACTGGAAGAAACTACTGCCGCTAACGTTTGCTTGCGGCACACCGAGAAACCTCTCAGGTTTGAAGGCATTGGGGCTGTCATAGGCCTCGAGGGAGCGGTGGATGCTGTGCGTGTTGAAGATGACCCGCGTCTTCGCTGGCAGCTGGTACCGGCCCAGGAACAGGCACGCGCCTTTCGATTCCCGGGGCAGATTCAGCGGCGCTGCTGGGTGCAGCCGCAGCGTCTCCATTACAACTGCGTTCAGATACGGCATCTGTTTCGTGTCTTGTTCTGTGACAGCGCTTCGGGATCCCACCACTGTGACGATCTCACTTCGCAGCTGCTGCAGCACTTTCGGGTGGCACAACAGCTCCGCCATTGCCCAATCTACAGTCGTTGCCGATGTTTCGGTTCCAGCCACTAGCATGTCCTGGTTGTATTGATTGCAATAAGTTAGCTTTTTTCCGGTTCATTCATGTCTTGACTGATGTTGCGAGACTTGGTTCGGCTAGCCGAAATATGTTGGGGTTCAGACTTCGTCGCGTGGTGTAAGTAGGAGTGCCCGATGGCATGTCGTGAAACTAGCTGAAATGAATAGAGGGTCAATGGTACACAACGACGAACATAGTAGACTGGAGTAGAAACTTTTCTCACCTGCACCAAAAGTTTGATCTGGTGATCTGTGAGTTTTATTTTTCTAGAGTTGTCGGCAGTGTACTCAGCTTGAATAGACAGTAAGTCATCCACGAAGTCCTCCTCCCTCACGGCCTGTGCATCACCGTTCTCCTCTCTCGTCAAGCGCCTCCTCCGCTCCTCGAGATTCATTATTTCATCGCACACGCGCATCGTCATGGACTGAATCTCTTGAGCTTTTGCATTGTAACGAAAGAGATAGTCAATGAATCTCAAATAGGGGATATAATCCCCAATTGCAAATTGACTAGCAATCTTTAGCCTCTCGGATATCATCTTCTTGAATATGACAGCTTCTCGTAGGTTCTCCTCATTTCCTCCTGCAGTGAAATATCTGTTTGAACATTTCAACTCATCAAATCGAGTGTAGACGTGGGTTTGACAATCGAGCAGACCAATTTTGTTAAAAATTACGTGTTAAAGAAAAAAAAGACAAATGCTTACCAAATGCAAGATGAATGAATTTGAATATGCGAAGTGGTGGGGTATAACTTACCTTCTGTTAATGAGCATCTGTGTCATGCTGTTAGACGAGAGCTTATACAACATGGATGACAGGTCGACTGTCTCTCCTGCCTCTGCAGCGATCTGTATACTCTGCAGCATGATGTTGATCTCCTCCATTCTCCGCGTTTCATATCTTGCAATGTTAGCTGGACGTAATATCTGCCAGCAGATCGAACGCAAAGTCTTCCAGAGATCGCCATGCTTTGCCATGGAGACACTCTGACTGTCGCCATTCAAAATGCCGGTGATGAGTCCGTCCGGCCGTGAGGAGAACTCGGTGTCGTGGTTTTTATGAATGTAATCGGCTAGAGCAGGCGAAGAAACCACGATACAGGGCGTGAACCCCAACCTCAAATACATCAGGTCTCCATACTTCTCCGCCAAGTTGTGTAGCATGCGGTGGGGGAGAGGAGCGCGAAAAAAAAGGAATAGATTACCAATCACTGTTAAGAGAAAAAGCCACTTGCATGTTAGTTGTTCAGCTGAACTGCATAAAATCATCAAGACAATCCGAAGTGGTTTGGCGAGACTCAGATGACGATCACCACATCAGATCAGTAATAGACTTCATTCTCGATCATGATGTTGAATTCAAACATAATTCCAACAATAACAACAACAACAACAACAACAACAGACAATGCTTAGCATCCATGTCAAAAAGGGCAGCACATCATCGACGTAATGAGAAGATAAGCCTCCTAAAACAACCTGGCCATGGCGTTGGTCCTGGTGGGTGAACCTTTTGAGCGGAACTGCTGCATTGAAGGATCCAGGTCAGTACGACCGAAACCAGTGTAAGAGCCAGCAGGATCTGCAACCACATGTCGTTGCTGTGATCGAGAGCACCCATGTTGTGGTAGTAGCTGCCAGAGTTCGTAATGTAAAAGAACTGTACAGAATGTAACCAACGCGATGAAGGTCGACTTCGTGGCGGACAGGCCAAGATATCTCAGCAGCTTGAGCAGTGAAGGAACTGATCGGGTTACTATGCCTGAGTACATCGGTCGCGACTGAGTCCATTTCACTGGTTTACAGCATGGCCTTTTATAGACTAGCGATGGTCTCAGGGTTTAACTAGTGAACGAATTTAAGCAATGGTAAACTGGTGTGGTCATTCACCAAGCACCCAACCGAGTGGGGTTTTTTTTTTTTTTTAGCATAAGGCGCGATCTACACGGATACATGGCATGGTACCGCAATGAAGGTTGTGGGTGATTTGACAGATTTTGGTTCTGGCTGCGCGTAGTCTTCGACTTCCTTTCGACGGTCGCTCTCGACGTACACAAGAAGCATTACCATCTACAGTGGGAGTCCAGCTCGGCACCTCACGGAACTCCCCCAAAATAAATTTCACAGAAACTCATTGTGGTTATGCCAAAACTGGCAGACTTGCACCTTGTACAATAGTTGCGAGCGTGACAGCCGGGGGCCTAGGTCCACATTCTCTGGTCGACGTATTAGCTTTCCTTGCAGCTGGCAATCATTGTAGAGAAAGGGGACAGAGTACGGTGCCAAAAAAGCGGTTATAAACGCAGCCAGTGAGTTCACTGTCAAGCCGGACTGATGCAGTCGATGTGGTCAATAGAAGAAAGAAGAAAAAGAAAAAGAAAAAGTTCTCATTGACGAGTTTGAGCTTCCCAGCTGATCTCGACACGCGGGGGGAGTAGCCAACACGTTTCCGTGAAGGTGATGCCCTCGGTGCACGAAACTCACGATGCAACACGAATCTGTGCAGTGGCATCGATTTCGACTCCTGCACATCGCTGTCATCACGGCGCCGAGCCCTGCACACATCCATCATCTGAGCCCACCTTATTTGAGTTGCCTTCATCACCACAGTTATGTGCAAATCTATGCAACTCTGTTGAACGATGACGATCCCCTTCCCTTGTCACTTGTCAGACTGATGATCCAACTCCTGCCCCTTCTTCTTCTTCTTTGACTACTTGCAACAGGCCCATGCTGGATGTGCACTCACAAATACCAATACCCATGTGGGGTTCTACATTGCACCACAAATCCCAACACTGTGTGATGAATTTCACATGTTTGTTCAACTTCTTTGTGACTGTACTTTGCTAGAAAAGATCTCTGTACCATTTCATACTATTCCTTACTGTGCACCACTTTGTGATAACATGACTCTTGTTCTTTTTATGTATTATGGACTATGTTTTTGTCCATGGTTTCACACTTCACACATCAGTTTGTTTGCAGTTCTGTTTTCAGCTTGATTGGATTGGAGATGATGAAGTTGGTGTTGGGTGAAAATTCAATTGGGGGCAGGTAAGTCAATGAAACATGGGAGTCAGTACAATGCAACTGACTACAGATGCAAAAGTCTATTGTTGTCATAGTCAATAAATTAAAAAGGCCATGGTAGATTTAGTACAAAAGAGGCAATTTGTAAAGGCTTTCACCAACATTTTGCCTTGAGTCAAGTGTAATTTTGCAGTCATGTCTATGTAGTAGAATCAAATGGTGTGCAGGTTATAAGGGGTTATGTAGGGATTGTCTGAATTGAATAGAGTATAATGTGTAAGGGGGTTTAGTTTCACCTATGTTTAGGGTTTATTAGTTTATTTAATTTATTGTGTAGATTGTAATTACATGAACCACCATTCACCTATTACTATCCAGACTTGGAACAAGTTAATTTATAGATTTGTATATGAATGTGGGAACTACTGGAAATTTTTTTTATTAAATTGTAGGTCCTAATACGTTCATGTCAACAAATGCTGAGAGAAACCATTTTAGAAGATTTTTTCTAAAAATTAAAAAATTGTGTCTTCTTTATTAAAAACCACATTTTACATAGAGTATTTTTCTATGCTTTATGTTTCATGTTTATTTTTTTCTAATTCAAAGAGTCATAAGTGGTGTACAGTGCCCTCATTGTGCAAGTCATGTATGCAATTTTCTTCTTATTGAAGTTGGCAGTTATGCTTATATCAACTCACATGCCAACATGGCATGTGGACACACTAAGATTTTTGTATGCAAGATTTTCTTTATTTTTTGTTTTTTTAATTTTTTATTAAATATTCTTAAATTAATTTTCTTTCTCCAAAATTAATAAAATTCTCTTAAAGACCATTAACATTCTGTGGTTATCCAAAATTACATCATTTATATGATTCCAAACATGACAAAATCATATTATAAATATAGTAGTATACATAAGCTTAATTCAAGAATTTCAAAAGTAAAAACACATGTACAATAGAATGGATCAAAGAAAAATGTTTTTATGATTAGATAGTAATGAAATATTACAATTATTATAATTGAATGAGTGCTAACTCAAAAAAATTATATACATATATATAGAGAGAGAGAGAAAAAAAGAAAGAGAATTAAAAATAATAATATTAAGAATCTACACTAATAATTTAAATCTCAACGTACATATACATACACATTTATATATATATATATATATATATAATAACTTATAGTAAAAATAAATTTTCATATTAAATTATCATAAAACTTAAATCTCAAAATCTAAAGTATAATTTTAAAAATATCACAAAAAATAAGCCCTTTCTATTTACTTATATTTGAAATGTAATATTCACTTTGTCATGAAATATTGAAACAAAATATCACTAAAATGTTATATACTGTGTATATATAATTAGAATTTAAGATTTTTTTTAATAATATACATTTATTGATTTACCATGCTTAGATAGAATGAGCTTCTTATCTTGTTGGCTTCAATGATGGTGCTTCTAGATTGAATAAACAAACAAAGAAGGACAAAAGCATTAAAACATGTGCAGATTTTATGCCTTCTTTGGACAATGACAACAATGATAACAACCATCACAAGTTTTATTTTGCAGTGAAATTTCTGGATATGGATCTAGTTTTTGTCTCAGATGTTGTCAATTGTCCTCATTAAATCAGCATAATCTAAAATTCTATTGGGCCTACATATAATCATGATTGGGTGTAATACAAAAAAATTCTATTAAATAAATATAGAGTTCATGATGGTGCATACATTTTTACTCAATATGAAAATGCATTTCTATCCTTGTGAACATACATAATCTATTAGATTTTTTATTCATGTATAGAAGAGTCACATTAGAGAAATACATGATTTTTGTTTAATTTACTCCTACCACTTTGTAACCAAAAAAATTCAATTTTTTTAAGTTTCCAAAATTACAAAAAAGCTTATTAGATTGCTTGTAACTAAGTTGTTGGCAACGAATATGCAATAAATACTTTACTTATGGCATGCTTTTACATATGTCAAAAGCAGCAATGAAATTGCTTTTGATGCAATAAAAATTGACCTTTAAATTAATAGTTATATTTCTAAAAAAATTAAACTTATAAATTAATATCATTATATATTTTTTAAAATTAAACAAATAAATCAGTATGATACATACATAAAACTACATGTGAAACAGAAAATACTTAATAAGAACAAAAAAAAACTACCAAAAAATAAAAAAATAAAAAAATGATAACTTATTTGGATACTATATTTGTATACTTTATTATTATTATTATTATTATCATAAATGAAATATTTTATTATTTATTTATTATCTAAAATAAATAATAATAAATAATTTCTAAAATTAGTGCCTAAAATATAATGACTTGTTACATATTGATGTTTCTTATATAAAATTCATGTAAAAAACTATTGTCGGAACTATTTTTATTTAGCAAGTTATTACAACAAAAATCTTTTTAAGTCCCTGCAATATTCTCCCCACTACTAGTAAATATTAAAAGAAGAAAATAAATTAGAAGAAACCCTCTAGAAAATGAATGTGATAATATCTCCTACAAGATTGGACCTTCATCCATATCTCTTTGTAGCACTTCAAAAATTAAAAATATTAAAAATTAGAGGTCAATTACTTTGTAGAGTCAAGAATAGATGTTTTATAAAAAAGACTTCTAAAAATTCTTTAAAGATTTAAGTTTTTCCAAGAGATTTTTATTTTTTAATAGTCACATATTATACATCATAATTTATAAAATTTTAAAATATTTTTTTCAAATCTATTTTCTTGCTTTAATTTTTTTATTATTATTATCTCTCAAAAGATGCTCTTAAAGATGTTTATATGTTTACAACACATGTTTTTAAAGTAGAAGCAATAGCAATGTCAGCATGAGCTTTAAAAAGCTTGCAAAAATACACATATGAGAGCTGATTTAGACACCATAGCAAAGAAAATTTAAACCATTACAAATTCCTACTTAAGCTTCAAATCTCAAAATATCTAATCTCAAAATGAACTAAAACAAAGTTGGAGTTGGAACCACCACAATCAAGGCTATAATCTTTGCTAATATTGACATAATATAATCACTTTATCCTAATGCCTCACCACACCTTTGCATTACCTAGTTACTTTGTTAACAATTTGGTTACTTGTTATTTTTATATTTTACAACATTTGATTAAGTTGGTTGCTAGTTTCTAAATATCAATTAATGGTGTCAAAAAGTGATACTTATGCCAAAAGACAAGATGTGTTCTAAAACAATTCCATAGATTTTAAAAATACTATTAAAAAAATCATTTAGAAATATTTGAGGGCTGTAGAGAGCTGAAGCTCTTAAGAAGCTCAAAAAAAAAAGGTTTATATTTATTTTTTTGTATTTTCTTTTTTCTTTTTTTATTGCCTTTTCTTTTGTAAAGTAAATAATAAGTATAGGACAAAGAAAAAAAATAAGAATAAAAAATCTAGATTTTTTTAATATATGCTAAGATAGATAATTTAAGTCATACATAAAGCTAATAATAAATATAAAGCAAAGAGAAGTAAAGTAAAATAAAAATTTCTAATTTTAAAAATTTATGTCAAGGCAAACAACTTAAGTCCATTTTTCTATTTTATTAGTTAATGAATCAAATATATATATATATATATATATATATATATATTATAAAATAAATTGTTATATTACAACAACTAAATAACATGGGATAGAGCAACAAATAGAAATAAAGGTAGTAGCATAATGACTTGCTTTCTTTTCTAAATTACTATATTATTTTTGATGCATTTATCTTTTCTATTAAATCCTAATCCTAATTATTGTAATTTTTTCTTTTGTAGCCAAAAGAGCAAAGCATAGCCAAATTATGGAAACAAATTTAGAAAATATAACATAATCCAATGGATTATGTCTAAGTTAGGCCTCACATGGATAAGTTCCAAGGTAGTTGTGCATTCTTTGTGGATTTTTGCATTCTCATGCCCTTGGTGCCATCTTGCTCTTTATGCAGCGATGTAGATATGATTTGTTTCATTGCTTAAAATTCAAATGAAAATAATAATGTAAGGTTTGCATAATTCTCAAGCAAATTGCATGGCATTGAAGCCAAGTCTACTACAAGGAATAACATGCTCCCTCTTTGTCCTTCTCACTATTGCTATTCTAGAATCCCAATATTTGTCCTCCTTTGACTTCAAACTAGGTCTCAAATTCTACTTGTGTAGTTCCTCACTTCTAAGCATACGAACCCTCTTCCTTATAGGACATGGATCATAGATTATAAAAGTCTAATCAATGAAACAAACCTTAGGACATGGATCATAGATTATAAAAGTCTAATCAATGAAACAAACCTTAGGACATGGATCATAGATTATAAAAGTCTAATCAATGAAACAAACCTTAGCCCATTGCTGCAAACTCCACCCACAACATCTATGAGCAAATTTTGTATGTTTCTCTTTTTGACCTAACCTCCAATATGATTTCAATTGTAGCACCTTTAAATTGAAGCCACTAGTAGAAACAATCTTGCAAATACTTGAAAATGAGAGCCCAACATTTGCTTCTCTTGCAATCTTTTGCAAAGAAAACATAGGATTCTCATCTATCACCTCCTCTGCTCTCCTCACAATCCTTGTAATTTTTTGCAGATGACCTTTGTAAGGAGCATCCTCAACATGAGCCCCTATGAATCCTCTCTCCTCACTACTTCCTCAACTCCTGACTTTCCTACCCCCAAAGCCTTCACAATCCTCCCATAACCCCAACATGCTACATTGTTCAACTCTTCCCTTGCCTCTCTCTGGTTGCATGAGGGCGCCATTGTTAAGACAATTAGCTACACTGATTCTGTCAAGGGCGGGACAAGGGACAACTTATTGTACACAACTGTGCATACAACGTGGTCTTATTGCACACAACTGTACATACAACGTGGTCAAGCTATTTATAAATCTTTAATCTGTTTCAAGCCATGCCTATTGTTATCACTGTTCAAGCTATTTATAAATCTTTAATCTGTTTCAAGCCATGCCTAGTGTTATCACTGTTCAAAAGTGTAATTCTTTTGGACACTATTTTGACATCCTTTTGCAACAATCCTCCTTTTGACTCTGCTGTGAAGACACGCTCGGATTCCAGAGTCACTTGACATGGGCAATAGCTTAGAACAGTATGTTGGCTCGTTAGAGAATTTAGTGAAGGTTTTCAAATCAAGAAATCAGGGAAATAGGGCTCTAGCATGAGAGACAGTGCGAGCCTCTTGTGTTCAAGAAGAGTGGTGGCAAGAATCCTAGTAGAAGAACACATGAAAGATCCTGGTACTTTACACATGCAATGCGGAAACTGGACTGTGAGATAGCAAGGATTAAAAATATGAACCAAAAAAAACTGGAGATGAATTACCAAGTGATTTCATTAAGGATAATGCCAAGCCGAGGGTTAGAGTGTTAGAGCAATCTGCACACTTTCCTACTGTCCAGTACATTAAAAATTGTCGTTGGCATAACACGCAATCTCTCTGAAAGATTAGACGGAAACAAGTTTTAGAAGTAAAGATCACAGCGGTTATGAAAATATTGGTGATCGGGATTTACTAGTGCCACAAGACACAAGATTTGACTAACGAAGAGAAAGAAACAAACAAAGTAGAATACAATAAGTCTTAAATTACATGCAATTGAAAGCACACGCAACATGAGGACGAACAACATGAAAAGAGAATTTTTCATCCTTGATATTAAACAAAATTAAACAATGACGCAAAAGTATCTCCAGGTAGAAGCAGATAAAGCTCCAATATCGTCAAAGTGTGCAGACTATATAGAGTTTCTCGAGTACCCAACAAACCTTCACATCCATTCACCGACTTCAAAGTTTCATAACTCAATGGTTCATCAATGCACAAGCCAGCCTTTCAAGAAGGAACAAGGCAAGGCAAACTACTAATACATCATACTCATAAGCTGCCCATCTTTTCATCGTCCTAGCAACTTGACCGTAAGGTCACGAACGGTGACAACAATCCGTGAGAACTCGAAGAACATGGTGGAATGGCCACCCTCGAGTCCAATGCGGGAGACACGGTTGCTGCCTGCGAAGTTGTTGCAAGGGCTACCTCCCACAATCAGGTCAAACCCTTGGTACTTATTCACAAGTCGTGTCAACACCGATTTGGTGAGGTGCCTCACATCGTGATACTCTACATCGAGATGGCCCGTCTGGTTTGTCACCGACCACCAAGTCTGAAGACAACGGCGAGGCTCCAGCTCAATCTCCACACTCACCACAACATTCAGCTTGATGCCAATCTTGTGAAGAGCTACTTCGGCACCTCCAATACCTGAAAATAGAGACAAGACTTTGATGCCTCTCGGAAATAATGGCTTTAACACCGAAAAATGGTATGCCACAGTATACACAGAAAAACTGTTGCCTAAAGCTTTGTATCTGATCGAAGTGTTTAAAATACATCTTGTATGGTCACGATCAAACCCCAACATCGCCTGCAGTATTATCCACACACCAAAATCAGTATGTTAAAGATAATCAAATATGGTAATATGACAGGATGATGGACAAAGTGAGTGAAATGCAGAGCTTTACTTCAATCTCGTTGGCCTCGATAGGAGTAGGAATGCTTGGAGATGTCCACACCAAGTTCATCTTGCGACACCAATACGAATACTTCGTCTGCTCCTCAAGGACAAGTTCTGCAGCTGTGGGAATTGCAGTGGCGTCCTCAATGCCAAGCTTTCTAAGAATAAACTCTGTCCCCTTCACTGTGTTGATACAGTTGAGCTTGGTCCGCTTGTCCCACTCTGGCCAGAAGGGAACTGTCTGCGGCATGAGCTCCTGAATAGTCATGGGAGGATCCTTAATGATCTTCCTCCTCCCCTCTAAAGGGAGATTGTGAATATACCCCCTGGATCGCCTGCATGCTGAGAAATGCATGGAATCGACAAATTCAGGCTCAATGCCGAAGAGATGGGTCACGATTCGGTCCCACTCACCCACGGGCATCCCTGCCACATTCTCGAAGTAAAAAAAGGGTGCTCCTTTCACATCCTCTTGAAGAGAGCGTTGCTTTTGTGGCTGACCAGGAAGACCAAAGCCAATGGACCCCCGATACTTGCATACCACAGCTGTATCTATGGTTGCTTTAGACCTGGCGTGTAAAGCTCACACTAATGTTATGATACTATACATGAAAAGACGATGTGAATTTCCTAAAGAGCTTTTTCTTTCGTACTTTCTCTTTTCTTTCATTTTTGCCTTGGTCTTTCTAACGCTATAGAAGTGTTTGCAAATGAAGTATGTACAGAATGAGCTTACTTAGAAACACTAGCTGTTTGCTTGTTCTTCAATGAACCGCTGCTCAGAATTCTGGGGCGACCTCGTCGACTAGATTGATTTTCTAGATTGAGTGCTGAACCTCCAAGCTTTCGTTTACCTTTACTGTTGGAAGTGGACCCCAAACGTTTTTCTTCGTGATATGAATCAAAGCCTTCAATATAGTTTTCTTTACCCTCCCGATCCACAATCAAGTCATCGGAGGAACAGTCGGAGTCCGATCCGAACTCTTCTCCCTGCAAATCACATCCATGCATACCATTGGCAATAGATTTAGATCTACAAAAATCTTTAGAATTTCAAACAGTATAACGACTTCCTTGAAAGGACATATTCTTACTGAATTTCAAGGAAATAAGATACAATAATACTATGTAAACAACTCTGTGACCATAGTATCAGAACACTTACTTACAAAACAAAAATTATCACCCCCCACAGTAAAATTGAATTCTAAATTGATGTCTCAGATTATTTCTAGCCAATTTAATGTCGCATAGGAATGAATCATTTCTTCCTTAATAATTCTCAGTGTGCCTTACCATAGCTCAACGTCAAGGAGAACACAAGACTCACAAGCACGACACAGTTTTCCAATGGACAACTAGGTTCACCACAATCTAGATTATTGTTACCACTAATATTATTTTGACAACTCGCATGAATGGAAATTGTCTAATTGCGGTCACATTTTGTTTGTGTAATAGCTGGAGCTGCTTACAAGAAAACCCGAACAACAACACAACTTGGGTTACTTGATGTTACATTATATTCTTGAAAACACTTTCATTTTGCGTTAAAATGAAGATTAAATAAAACAAGAAAGTATTTTGCAGTTAACTATTCGGAGAAATGACATTCAAAAAGTAACTGGGGGCGTATACGACATGCAGAGTTCCCATATCAAGTTGATTCTAAAAGAAAGAAAATAACCACTTCATTTTTTATTAAAAACGAAATTAAAAATAGCTTCGAAGTCCTCACCTCGACTAAGTTATCCATGTGCGCAGCGAGGAAATCAACAAGCTCAGCGATCTCTTCCTGCTTTGCATCCCGCAGCGTAGTTTCTACAATTCCAGATAGCAAACCATTAAAAATACTCTAAAATGTCAAAAGACTACTTTCTAACGAAGTGCTAGAAAATTCAAGAACCACCGAAGTAAGTAAATTAGGAACCAAGCTAAGAGAAGTCAACCTAGAAGGTGAATTAAAACCGAAAACAAAACAAAACAAAACACGTTAGAAACTGCTTACTACATATGACCATAGCCTTTTCAACTGCCACTGGGGGAAATTGAAACACTTTCGTGAGCTTCTCGAATGTGTCACGCTCTTCATTACTTGAAGCATTTGGGTCTTGCTCATTGGCCAGGAACAACAAGTAATCAAGCAGCATGTCATACTCAACCGCTTCTCCCAGTTCTTGCACCGCACGCTCGATTAACTCTGAAGAAAAACCTGCGCTCCGCATGGCATCCCTGAGACCTCCATCCTGATCTGCCTCCCTGCTGCATAGAGGGGAGGGGTTTGCAAAATCAGATGGATTAATTTTCTGATAATTGCATGGAGCAATGTCTGAATCGCTCTCTGAATCGCTGGCAATGTTGGCTCCCTGTGAAGAAATAAAAAATAAATAAATAAATATGAGATAAAGTGGGATTAAATTTCCAACAATAAAGGATGCTCACTATTACCTTAAGTATAATTACGCTGAATATCAAAATTTGCAATGAAAAAAAAAAGGTCGAGTTATTTGCCTGTCGGTAAGTGCTTGTAGTGGAACACTTCAAGTCACGAGTTGCTATATTTTGCTGGACTCTGACTCTCAACTCTTCCTCAGAATCACTGTCTTCTTCAGCAATCCGCTGACCTATTTTGGTTCCGTGCTCACTGTTATCCAGGAGAAATTGCAACAAAATTGAATCAGCAGTCTCTGCACCTGCAATATCAAAAGAAACGATTAGCATTCTTCCTCGGACGCAGGAATACACACGAGACCATCAAAGATTGACGATAACAAAGTGTAACATAATCAACATTACAATTGCTTACATCTAAAAGTGACCAACCAATAGATTTAACAACGTCGATTTATTCATTAAACTTCAAGAGCGTACTTTCAAAGAGTCATCAAACAGGAAAGTTTATCAACTTTCAACACATACACAAATTGGCTACAGAATAACTCACTATGGTGCCGAATGGCTCGCTGCACAAGGTCCTTCGAGAAGCCCATGTCCAGAAAACTTAATTCTCGATGTTCAGGTAGTAGTGGAGGTGTGGGAAGAAGAAATGCAGGCTCACTATCTTCAGGCCCAGTGTCTTCAGGCTCCATTTTTGCCGCAACCATAGAAGGCTCTTGGAAGAGCTTGCAAATTGGATCTTGCCATTCCTCTTCTTCATGGGCATCTGGGACTTGAACTGGAAGAGGCGATGCAGCTCTACAAGAAGGGAGGACCCGCTCTTCTCCTGAAGGAACGCCCGCATCTTCGTCACTCGAATTCATATCATCCCAAACATAATCCTCGATGCACTCCGCTTGAGGGGTGTTGAGGCTGAGAGCGTGCGTGGCAATAGCGTTGAGATCACCATCAAAAACTGCAACATAAATTGATAGCAAAGTTATACACACAGTTCACAACAGAGTATGTGAACGATACGATCCTCAAGTCTAAATTCTACATAGAAACGCACAAACCAGCAGTTTTTCCATTTACGGAGCAGTCTCAACAACCCTGTGCTAAGAAGATATCGACTTCTCCAGCTGCGGACAAGGCTCTACATCAGCCACTAATATTAGATGTCTTTCAGACAGACATTTCCTACACCTGAGGACACAGCACGCTATCATGAAATAACAGAGTCAACAACGAAATCTGGCAAGAGATATTCCTCTTTCACAAATTGAAAACCAGGAGCTAATTCACTACTAAATCAAAATCCTCCAATTCCCAAACCCCTTCCAATATCTAAAAAGCAGCCTAAAGAACTAACCGAGGAACTGTATCTCAGACGTAATCGACTTCTCGGGAAAAATTTGAAGACAGCCCAAATGCAAAATATGTCAAGCACATCTCCCCAGGAATCAAATGACCCTAGTCCTCGACTATCCATACTGTATCTCAAATAAATAAATAAATAAATAAATAAAAATAAAATCCACAGCTACTTCAAGGACTATCACGAGACAAGCTTCTCTTAAGATTGATATCCTATAAGCTAAGCTATACAACACTCCAAGTTGACGACACATTCCAAAGCACGAGATCTCAACTACACTCACATACGTTACGCCACACGCCAATTTTGGCTTAAATACCCCACTGAAATTAGCTCGACAAGTTTCACGAAGTGTACCATCAATTTTCAAAAGAGCTTGTTTGATCACCTCCGGTGACAACCCCAGCGCTACCAACGTCTCCCGAACCTGTTCGACCTTGGCACTTGCGGTCTGAACACAAAGACTAATGAATTAATTCGCGATGGGGCACATGATCACAAGCTTCAGCATCGAGCATAGGACCATAAGTTAACCGAAACGAAGTCGAGGTGCTTGCCTCCTCCATAGCCGATTCCACCTCCAAGTCCTCTTCCTTCTTCACGACCGAATTCATGTTTCCCAACTGCCGCACGATCGGCGATCACCGTCAAAAAGGACTCCGTTGAACTCTTCCTCTGCGGTCGTGCTGCAAGCCTGAGCCCCACCGTTGCAAAATATCACACAACATTACCAAATCTTGGTCATCGGTCCTCGGGTTCCAACATAACTGCTTAGAACGAACTTGGAGCTCGCTCGCTTCTTGACCATCCGCAGTATCCCGTTGGAGAAGCCGGTCACGTAGAAAAGTATGATAAGTGTGGTGATCAGACACCATAGCCTACGGGGTAGAACCGAACAAACTCCCTAATGCGTAATTGAAGAAGAAACAACCGCTCGCACCTCCGGTCCCGAGCCTGGTCTCGCCACCACCACCACAGCGGCGGCTGCTCCTCCTCCTGATCCCAACCTCCTCCCGTGTCTCCTCCTCCTCCCCGTGGGGCACCACCCAACTGATGATATGAATCTACTACGCCGCCAGCCACCATTGTTTCCTCCTCCAACAGAGCCTACTACATACTGTGGGGGCGATGAACCCCCAACTAACATCACCTCACCTCCCCCATCACCTCATGCCCCCTCTCTCCGCCTCACACCCACGCCCTAGCGCATGCTCCCCGCTCCCCCAGCCCCCTCCCCGCGCCTCGCCTCTCGCCACTCTTCCAACGCAACCCACCCGGCGTCGTAACCCACCACCCCACCCCCACCCCCACCCGGAGGTTGTAAAGATAGTCTATAGTCTAGTCTAGAGCATGATCCCAGCTTCTTCTACTTCTTCTACTTCTTCTGCTGCTCGGCTCGCAACTGAACACGGCAAGAATAAAGCGTGTCTGCCTGCTTCTCTCTGCACTTCCCTAATGCGTAATTGTGAGTGAGAGAGAGAGTGAGAGCGAGAGGGTCGCATGCTGCGTGACCGTCATGCTTTCCAACCCCCGCTCGCTCGCGGCCTCACTCTCCTTGCAGGCGCAAGGCCCTGAGTGGATGTATGAATCTAGTTCATCCGTCTTCCTTCGTTTTCCATTCATCCAATACCTACTCATTTACCTTTTTTCTGTGCTCTGGGTTTTCCGTTTGGGTCCGTCTAGCATTCTTGATGCAGGATTGAGTCTTTTTGTTGATAATGGTTGTTTGTGGGTCTTTCTGCTTCATATCGATTAGAATTTTTTAAAAAATCTTAGTTTTGATCATTCAAAGGATTTAAAAGTTGTGGTTTCTTGTTTTTATTATTATTATTATTATTATTATTTTTAGTAGAAAAATAAAGATTTGTTTTTACTTGGGTGTGTTCTAATTTTGTACACAATCTCATAATCTTGGTAAGAAAAAAAAAAAAAAAAAAAAAAATTACATTTTTTGAAGAAAGTTGTGATTTGTTTTTCTTGTCTTTGGTAGAGTGTGGATCTTGGACAATATGTATGTATGTATGTAAAAAAGGGAGGGTTAGAGTAAGTAGAGCCTTGACTATGTTTTTGTCCATTGATCATATTCTAGAGGTGATTCAACCAAAGCAACAGAAGGAGGCTCCCATGTTGTATGTTGTTGGCTTGTGGTTAAATTTAATCTTGGTGTGATGGTGGTGTTTTTTTTTTTACTTTAATTAATTTTTAATTTAGTTCTTAATATCAATGACATATACACCTTCTGTTTCCAACATACAAATACATATATTTCTTTTAATATTAGTTGACTTTACCTCAGCTTGAATCAAAAACCCATTGTGAAGATTACCATTGTCCACAATCTTTACTGTGAGGCCTTGATCTTAATAAGAGTTTAACCTTCTCTGTTTTATTCTCTGAGTTTGAGTTTAATTTACACTACTTTTGTTTCGTTTTGTCTGTTGTTTTTTTGTTTGTTTATTTTTCTGAAACACAAGGAGGTATGCTAATGGAAAATGAGTTACAAACAGAATAGATACATCTCCAAATTTCACAAGTCACTTCTTCTGTATGAATGTGTGAATTATTTTTATTTTATTTTCAACCTGTCAAACAGAAAGGTTGAGTGGAATTTCAACATGTCCATTCACCCTCAACATGTTGCCACCATGAAAACCATAATTTTACAACTCTTGGAAACTCACCTCCACCCACTCCTCACAAAATACTTTGATTTGGACACAATTTGAGGGATTCTCAAGATCGTTTCAAATCCCCACCTAAATTCCAACTTTGGGAATTTGTGGTGCTTGAAAACCCAGCACACAAACTTTGTGTGTCTACACAAGATAGGTCTATATCACCTCAGCCACCCTTGACTTGAATTCTGTTTTTTTGTTTGTTTTTGTTAAAATTTATATTATAATTATTATTTCGAAGAATGTGTTATTGATGAGCAAAGTTTTTGTGGAGTTTGAAGAGAGTAAAATTTAGAATTGATTCATGATGTGGTGTTGCTGTGGTGATTGGAAACATCCCCAAATGGATGGGATGCAACTAGGTTAATGTAGGCTGTCTTGTAAGCAGCTCCAAGGACCTAACATTCATGGTTTTGTATTATTGTCATTTTTAAAATAAAAAATAAAAGTGGTATTAAGAATAATATTAACAATAATAAACTTTATCTAATTATTTGTTTTGAATTGATGATGGAATTTATAATACGGCTCATCATTCTTTTAAATGTTAGTGAATGTGAGTGACAAAAAAAGTACAGCTCGGTTTTATGGTATCCAAGTAGAATATTTTATACTTGGAAGATTTTGATTTTTTGATTTTTTGATTTGATTTGATTTATTTTCTTCAGTTAGAAGATGAGGGAATGGTTTTGAGGTGATGGATGGATGAAATATGGATGGACGTGTGGATAAATGGATGAATCAGTACGTTGATGGATGAGTGAATGAATGTGGGTGTCCATGTGGATGAATATGTTTCCATGTTTACTTTCAAAACATATTTAAGAAATTATACATGGTTTTTGTCATTCATTCATAGCACCATTCAAAAATTTAAAGGATTGTTTGGAAGACTTATGAGAATTATGTAATATTCAGATATATATATATATATATATATATATCTAAATATTCAGAGTTATATATATATATATATATATATATATATATATCTATCTAAATATTCAGAGTTATATATATATAGATAACAGTGTTTCTGCTAGATTTTTTTAAATATTTTTTGTTCATAATTTGAATTTGAGTCTAACAAAAAACTTGCATTTTCTTTATGTGGTTTTGGACATGTCAATCTAAATCCAACACATGTTCCATATTGAGGGGGGGTGAAGAATCCAACACTTGATAAATGTTGCTTCACAATGAGAAGAAGAGCTAACATCAAAAGATTAAAAGACTGTTATTATAAATGCTTAGCTGCCATAAGCCAGTTATCCTTGTGGTATTCTTTTAACACTCTAAGCTCTAAAGATCTCATATTTTGTACATTTTACAGATATGGGTTATGAACTTATTTTAAAAAAAAGAAAAAAGAAAAGAAAAGTGGTATGATTGAAGAAACAAAAATGAACATAAATTGAAACCACAAAAAATGAATATATATATATATATATAATATTACGTAGAAAAAATATTTTTGTGTATGAATAAATATTATAAAATAAATTGATAAGATTAAAAATGATATTATTATTAATACACATTGTTTTTGTTGTTTGAATTGGAGTCTACTCTTACAATATTTGTTTTTTTTTATTATTTATTAATTTGTTTTTGAAACATGAAGAGACATATCTTTTATTTGGTTAATGACATATGAGTGAAATTTTGCTGATCTCTGAAGATAATCAAATTAAAAATTGATTCATGATGTGGTATTGTTGGGATAATTAGATATATCTCTAATAAATGGGATGCCACCATAGATTTTGGATTGTTCTAGGCTATATTGTGACTGGCTCCAAGGACTTGACATTCATAGCATGTTTTTGTTTTTGTTTTAAAATTCATATAAATAGAAGTATGAATCACAATGATTTAATATAATTAGTTAATAATTTGAATTGATGATGGGTTTTATAATACAAGTCATTATTTCTTTAGACATTTATGAACTTGAGTGTTGATGAACACAGCTTGATCTGGTGGTGCCCAAGTGGAAGTTTCTGTTCTAAGAGGATTTCAGTTTCTTATTTCTTTTCTTCTATTTGGAAATAGGAGAGTGGTATTGAGGTGGATGGATAGAACTGCTTCTTTCATTGTCTCTCTTTTAACAACTTGCTTCATCATTTCTCATGAGTTCAAGTGCAACAACTACCTCAATCTCTCAATTGTGATGTGAAGTGGAGTATTAAAACTAAAAAATAAATAAAATAAAACCTTCTCTATTATTGTTACATATCCTAACTTTAAATTTTTTTACAACTAAATTGTAAAACATCAAATATCAATAGATATTAATATGATAGATTAAATATTATACAAAAAATTACACTTGGATTTGAATACAAATATCAATTTATTACATTGGTAGTTTTTACTTTAAGAAGAAAATTGATTTTTTATTTTTATAATATTTTTAAAATAAAAAATTAAAAAAAAACAAAGGTTCTTAATGCTAGTATGTGTGTGTATATATATATATATTAAAGAACTTTTAGGTTATAAAATAAATAAAATTTATAACATTTTTATGAAAAGAAATATTTTTTAAAGTATTATTGAAAAGTTATGATATTTTTTTAAAAATAAAAAACATAAATTTTATTTTTTAAGAATTATTTTATTAAAATTATATAATTTATAGGAGTTGTGTTATCAAAGAGTTGGTAATCAGTGTTTTAAAGAGCTGATCAAGAGACTCATCAATTAAATAGAGCTATAATAAACATGTAATTAGAGATGAATAGTATAGTCATATTGCTACAAAAACTATACATATTCAAGCCAATGTTGTGGCAATTACACCACTAAAATATGTGACAAATTAAGAAGAAGAAGCTATCAATCTTTGTTAATAAATGAGACATAATTTTAAGACTTCTTATAATAAGGACAAATTCAATCTCCTAAAAGAAGAATTAAAAGATATGGTATTAAGCATGCTATATACTACCAATGTTAGCACTAATGACATAATAGTAGGTTTATTTTTTTTATTTTTTTTATTTTTTTTTTACCACACACAAAAAAAGAAAAACCATATAGCACAATCATTAATTTAAGATGTATAAAATCATCAATATAAAGATGACAAACATAACAATTCTTTGAATGCTTTCAATGCCCTTATTTGTTGTTACTTTTGAGCAACATAATACTATTAGACTATATATCCTTCATACAAAGAATAATATGTCTTGCTATAACATTAAGTGGTATAGGCACATAACTTAGGTATCTACATGAATATATTACTTGGCCTTGAGTCTAATCTTTAATACTATTACCAAATGATTACTTTTGCCTACAAAGACCTCCACAAGGATAATATCTTCATTGAGTGGATGCCAAAAACTAGAGCAAATAAAGAAAAATAATAATAAGTAAGTTTATACATCCAAAATAATTTAAAAAAGTCACAATCTTTTGGCATCACCAAGATAATTTTGCATGTACTTTATAGGAATAAAATAAATCCTTTGTCAAAGACATGAATCTCAAAGAACCAAAAACTCAACATAATCTT